TCTATCATCTGAGCTAAGCGAGCTAAATTCATATAAATCAGCAATTCAAGAGATCAATAGCAAACAATCCTAGAGTTTCCACAACTTTGAATCAAGAAGAAGGAAACAATGGATTGTTATGCTGCTCCAGAATTACCGAATAACAATTCAAATCGACAATTAGAAACGTTTGTGATGGACCAATAGATGAATTAAGTTCACTAATATGGATCTAACAACAATTCAATCACACAACAGAAAATTCACAGAACCAGATCGACTGACAGGAATTTTTTATTGAAAACAGCTAGAATAAAAAAAAAAAGAAGCAGTGCGATTGCACTATCAAACGATAATTCCCTCAATCGATGAAGTGCTAAGCCACAAAATCAAATAATCTAAACGATCCTATCAGGAACGAGTATGAAATCAGAGAGATACATGTGAATAACAAATAAAAAACTGATTCTACCAAGATCGATCGAAGAATGAAAATTCAGATCGAAGATTCGTATGAAAAGCTAACCTCTCGTAATCAATATCGCAGAAGAAAGATGGATGATGCGGCTAAAGAAAAGTGGTCAAGTAGAGAAATTAATCATAAGGGCAAACAAGTTTATATTTATAGTGGTGAAGCGAAAAAAAAAAGTTAGGGTTTAAGATAATCTCCTGAGCACAATGACAATTTTACCCTTGTGTCTCGCCGCTCCTTTTTCTAATTTGTTATATTTTCGCTCCGGTAATCTCTTCGCCCATAACGACTCGCGAGAGCACAAAAATTGTTTTGTGTTCTCTTTCAATACGAAGATTTTTATAAATCAGTTCAAAAAGAAAATATTTAGCATGTAGCCATGTATGCTCTTCTAGGCACACATACTTCATAATGAAAGCGCTGGTAGAGACCACTAGCAAAAATTACGTAGGTGATTGATAATTTGATATTAAATCTCCAAAATATAGGGTTTTGGCACTCAAAACAAACAGAGATAAAGTAAAAAAAAATAACTATATCTTTAAAGTCAAACTGTTTTGAATTGTACCATAGGAAGTTTCACCATATGCATATGCCATATTGATGTGTCCTCGAAAATCAGTTCTAAATGAAAAGTTTTAACATAGTTTTGGTGCTGACTAGTTGAAATTTTATCGCTTATGGTACTGTACTAGCATGCCATGTTATGGATAAGTAAGTGATCGTGCATGGACCAGGACTAATGTCACGACATGACCAATTGATTGAGTGTTTGGTTTGGAAGAAATTCAAGGATGATCTTCGGTTGGTTATCGAGATATGTGGAGTGTTTCAAATCGAATGACAAAAAAAATTATGCATGGTTGGATGGTTGGAGGTGAAGTACGGGAATCACAATGAATTATAAAAAATGTGTGTCCATCAATGTGAAAGAGGATGACTTAGTGATTCTCCCAGCTAATATGAGTTGTTTTTGGCAAGAAGTGGAACATAAAGTCGAGTTAGAAGACGTTTCAATATTGAAGGAATATATATGGACAACACATTAAGAAAAAAAAAATACTCTTTAGATTGACGCACCACACACAACTCCTCTTGAATGAGAGACTTGATCAAGAAAAAGTTCATTTGGCTTATAACAAATGAAAAAGAATATAACAATCTTAATTTAAGAACATGACAAATGTCATCTGCGAGTAAGGTAGTGCTACTGCTGTCCGTGAAACAACCAATTATAGATTTTCGTTGTACATTGATTACCGTTGCTTGAACCGAGTAACAATAAAAAAAAAAAAAAAAAGTTGGATCATTTCAAAAGTACTTCGTCGTTTTCTAATATTATTGGGTTGGCCTTGGTTCTTGGAAGCACCATCCGTATTGAATTTTTTTTTTTTTGTCAAAGTCATCCGTATTGAATTTGAATCAGCCAATGGAAGAGATTTCCCAAAACTCAAGAACCTAAGCTTATAAGACCAAAACAACTTGGAGGAATAGACTAGAAGACGACCATGCAGCTGCTTCAAAGCCAACGTGATGCTAGACGAACACTATCATGCGTCTAGAGATATATATATCAATGCCTTGTATGTTTGTATACCTTGTAAATCCCTCAACTTCTCCTACACATTTTCCTTGATAATATCTCCAAGAGAAAATGTGTAGGTCTAGTAGTTGTTTTAGTTTTGTTCCAACTCTTTTGTAAATTTTCTTTTCTATTCTAATGGTGTAAAAGATCGCCCATTCGTTAAAATACGAAATCATAACACTTCATCAAAGTGTTTCAATAAATTTAATTGAAAGCGAGAAGAGAGGTTAAAAATTCAAAAACGATTTATGCAACAGGAGAAAATTGGCTAGATAAGAAGATAATAACCGCAGGGACAATATTCATAAAATAAAATTCCAAAAAAGTTCACAATGAGAAAACAAATAAAAAGCAAAAACAAGGAAGCATGTTTGCTTAGCTCCGCCACCTCCGATCAAGAACCCAATTACGAGAACAACGCTCTGATGGGGAAATAACGAAACAGGAACGCAGACAAGCGACCAGATACCAAACTATTGTAAAAAAACTAACATTGTCCTTTGATTCACCTGCGGAAGATAGATTTTTGAAGATGGTTCACTTCGCACCCTTCTTGACGGCAGCCTTGGTAACCTTGGCTCCGGTTGGGTCCTTCTTGTCCACGCTCTTGATGACACCGACAGCAACAGTCTGCCTCATGTCCCTCACGGCAAAACGTCCTAGTGGTGGGTACTCAGAGAAGGTCTCCACAACCATGGGCTTGGTTGGAGTCATCTTCACCATACCTGCATCACCATTCTTCAAGAACTTGGGCTCCTTCTCAATCTCCTTACCAGAACGCCTGTCAATCTTGGTCAAGATCTCAGAGAACTTGACTGCAATGTGAGAGGTATGGCAATCGAGCACAGGGGCGTAACCGTTACCAATCTGACCAGGGTGGTTCATGATGATGACCTGGGAGGTGAAGTTGGCTGCTCCCTTGGCAGGGTCATCCTTGGAGTTGGAGGCGACGTACCCTCTCTTAAGATCCTTGACAGCAACATTCTTAACATTGAACCCAACGTTGTCACCAGGAAGTGCCTCAAGAAGAGACTCGTGGTGCATCTCAACAGACTTGACCTCAGTGGTCAACCCTGTGGGAGCAAAGGTCACGACCATACCAGGCTTGATCATACCAGTCTCAACACGTCCCACTGGCACCGTTCCAATACCACCAATCTTGTAGACATCCTGAAGTGGGAGACGGAGGGGCTTGTCTGATGGCCTCTTGGGCTCGTTGATCTGGTCAAGAGCCTCAAGGAGTGTTGGTCCCTTGTACCAGTCAAGGTTGGTGGACCTCTCAATCATGTTGTCACCCTCGAATCCAGAGATGGGCACAAACGGGATTTTGTCGGGGTTGTACCCAACCTTCTTCAGGTAGGAAGACACCTCCTTGATGATTTCATCGTACCTGGCCTTGGAGTACTTGGGGGTGGTGGCATCCATCTACAAACAACATGCCAATTAATGAGACTAGTGAACATAACAGATAAAAAGAAGGAAATATCACAACTGAACAGATAAAAGATGTGGTTACCTTGTTACAACAGCAGATCATCTGCTTTACACCAAGGGTGAAAGCAAGGAGAGCATGCTCACGGGTCTGACCATCCTTGGAGATACCAGCCTCAAAACCACCAGTGGTGGAGTCAATGATAAGGACAGCACAATCAGCCTGGGAGGTACCAGTGATCATGTTCTTGATGAAATCCCGATGACCAGGAGCATCAATGACAGTACAGTAGTACTTGGTGGTCTCAAACTTCCAGAGAGCAATGTCAATGGTGATACCACGCTCTCTCTCAGCCTTAAGTTTGTCCAAAACCCATGCGTACTTGAAGGACCTCTTGTTCATCTCAGCAGCCTCCTTCTCGAACCTCTCAATAACACGCTTGTCAATACCTCCCAACTTGTAGATCAAGTGTCCAGTGGTGGTTGATTTACCAGAATCGACGTGGCCAATGACCACAATGTTGATGTGAAACTTCTCTTTACCCATGGTTAAAAGTCAAGTAAATCTGCAAAAAGATCAAATCATAAAGAATCAATAAAAACAGTAGACATATATAATCATTATGAAAGTCATGTTTCTAATAACTATCATTGTAAAAAGCCGCTATCGGAGTCGAACCGATTTCTACCACAAAGTTTGTGGTGCTCTAACCTCTGAGCTAAGCGAGCTAAACCAAAGTAATTAAGGAGATCAATAGAAAACAATCCTAGAGTTTCCACAACTTGGTATCAAGAAGAAGGAAACAATGGAGTTGTTATGCTGCTCCAGAATTACCCAATCACAAATCAATCAACAAATAAGATCACATGAATCTAGTTAACTCAGATCCAATAAACAATCCATCGAACAATACAAAGATTCCAGAACAAGAAAGATCCGATGATCGAGAAAATAGTTTATAATTAGCTTTCATGAAAAAAGTTTGATTGATTGGAGTGTAAAACATTGATCTCCTAAATTGATAAAACTCTAAACCACGGATCAGAAATTCAAAGCGATCTATCAAACAAAGAGCAACGAATACAAGAGATATACATGTAAAGAAGAATCAAACTGAGAGAAAAAAGAATAACAACAGACATGCGAGAAGGATCGAAACAGTTTTCAACAACGAATCAGCAAAAGAGAAAGAAACAGATCGAACATACTCAAGAAAAGGCTTACCTCAGAGATATCGCAAGAAAGTTAAGCGGCTAGGGTGACGAAGAATGAAGTAAGGAATAAGCTATGATGGGGATTCGAGATTATTTATAGTGGTGAATCGAAAGAAAAATAAGTTAGGGTTTAACATATTACGTTTCAGAAATTACAAACATGCCCCTGTCCCGCCGACTATTCTCTCTTTTTTGGGCCTTGAGGGGTCGGTCGTGTTTCGTAAAAGTCCACTAATTTTAAGTCGAGCTAAAATTTGAATTGATTGTTCGATCCAGAGTGGAATTCACTTCACATTTAAACCGGAAATAACTCAAAATTAGTTCAAAACGAATTTCTTAGATCAAAAAGGTTTTACTTTGAGGATATACTTTGCAGGTAGAGATTGAAATTTCAAATAATGATAGAACAATATACAAGATACACAGCACAAAATCACTAATGATTGATGAAAACATCAAACGCTTGTTCATCAGACTGGAACATTTAAGACCACAAGTAACAGACTACACATATTAGAGAATCGATGAAAGCAAGTATCAAGTATGGTAGAGGAAATGTGATCAACGGGGGAAAGGATTGTCCAAAACGTTGTCCATGACTTTAAACTGCATATCCTCCGATGGCTTCTAATGCCGTTTCCTCTGGTTTATGAACCAATTGTTTATCTGTTTCTGCTCCACCACCAGACTACTGGCTCCAACCATTTCTATTTCAGAGTCAATCTCTGAGCAGAAGAGTAATAGTGAGACTCGAGCTCTTTAAGACTGGCAGATGCATCATCAGCTATTCTAGCCAACAATCGATTTGTCTTCTCGGCCTCTTGATCAAACTCTTCTATTCTTTGTTCTACATGATCATTTAGTGATGCAAATCCTGAAAAAATCGCTGTTTGCTTCAGTTCCGATACGAGTTTCAAAAGAGAATCAGCTGCTTGAACCTGCCACATCATTGTTGAGGAACTCAGTTAACCAACACAACAAGGGAATAATCTTAGCAGAAGAAATCCAGTTGAAACAATAGTACATAACAACACTTAAGAGACTCATTAGTGAATGTTTCAGTGTCTCAAAACATTTAAAATATGTAAAATTTTGAATCCACAAAAGCTTCCCTAGTAATCCATTCACATGCCTTAAAGAAATCATTCAAAAAACACAGTGAGGGCATAAGCAACCAAAACACACCAAATCAACGCATCTATCTATGAGAACCCAAATGTTTTCCTAAATTCTGATTTGCATGAGCCTGTAAAGAAATCATTTTTACCAGTCTAGAAGCTCGCATCTCCATCATGTAAGCTTCCTGCGAGTTCTTCACCGGTGGGTCACTCACCTAACGAAACCAAAACATGTTTCGACTCAATAAACACTACTAATCTTAAAGAGAATCTACATTTTCTGATAAATCCTAATTTTTAAAACCGGAAATAAACCAGACTTACCCTTGAAACATTGACGATTTGCGTGAAGTTATCGACGACAGATGTGATGTCAGTCTCTACTCTCTGCAACAAAGCCTTTTGCTTTTGTAAAGCTGCGGCGGAGGCGGCAGCCGTTGGGCCACTTCCTCCACCGGATCCGGCCATTCCGCCACCAGAACCACCGCCTTTGTTCATTATTGTCGCTGGTCTTTGCAGAGAAACGAAGAAAAGTAAGATGGCTATGGGAAGAGGAAGAAGACTAAGCGTGAAATTAGTATTGGGCCTAAAGTATATTGGGCTTATAAGTTTGTGTTGAAGTTATTATTACTTAACTTTCTAAAACCGAACATGCTTTGACATTCCTCTCTTTCTTCTGCTCGGTATTGGTGTTGCAGATTGCAGAAGGTATGCGATTCAGACACATCTAAGATTTCATCTCCCTACTCTTCTATCTGATCCCTTCAATGAATCTTCAGTTCTTTCGTCTTACTTTTAGATCATAAGAATAGATCGTTTCTCTTTCAGTTATTTTCTGAACCAAATCCGAATTTCGAAGATAAATTGTCCCTTCTAATTTGTTTTCTGGGAGAAATTATCTGTTTTGAGCTTGCCTTTGCTAGCAATTGATTAGTGAACCCTCTAAGGTTTTGAAAGTTTCATTCTTTTTAAAGTCTTTAATTAAACTCGGGTTTGCATCATCAAATCTGGTTCATTGTTAATCTTATTGGCTTAGATTTTACAACAGAATGGTGTTTCTTAATCACCCTATTAATGCACTGTGCATTGATCCTTTGTAGTTTATTTTTTGGAAATAGTGTGGTTAAATGCAATTTATCTTACAGTTCCGAACTTGGAAGAGAAGCTCCAGGACTGGTGAACTATAAAAATTTGGGTTTGCTACGATGACGACGCTCGATTCTCGGCTTATTGCTCCCATGATTATACTACTCCTTTTTATACCTATTGAATTAGTTAAAGCGGAAGTCATAACACTGACACCAGAAACCTTTTCTGACAAGGTAAGGATCTGAATCCCTTTTTTTTTTGCTATAGTACTTTGATTTCTGTGAACTCTAGTGTTTTACTGGAATCAGCTAGATTTATATATTTGTTTTGTGCTCCTTTTATGATGCGATATTGAAAACGGGGTAGCGTGGTTCAAAGATTCTTTGCATTGCTCATAAGTGTAATTTCTGATCTATCTGAGTAGAGACACTCCCATCTTAGCTTAGTTTAGTTGTTTGATGACCAGTTAACTTAGACCATCTACCAGGGATTTAAAATTGTGTTAGGCGATCTTTCCGACTTTACATACTCTATATAAAGCATTTTCAGATTACTATGTACTTCTCATAGATGCCAATTCCCTATCAATTTCAACATTATGCTTTAGTCTTGTTTTAGAGTTTGATAATTTGATTAACTTCAGATGGTTGCATCTCTTGGTGTAGCGTCTACAGTCTTAGTTCAGACACAACAAGATGTTTACTCTCTCCATGTTTATTGTTGGTTCAGATAAAGGAGAAAGATACTGCGTGGTTTGTAAAGTTTTGTGTTCCTTGGTGTAAACACTGGTTAGTATCCTTATTTCATGAAAATACGTAACTTACAGTAGTTTTGGCTTGTTTATCACTTGTTGATTAAAATGGATCTGAGTGTCAGCAAGAAATTGGGGAATTTGTGGGAAGAATTGGGAAAAGCAATGGAGGGAGACGATGAAATTGAAATTGGTGAAGTAGACTGTGGTACTAGCAGAGCTGTTTGCACCAAAGTTGAAATTCACTCATATCCAACATTTATGCTATTTTACAATGGAGAAGAAGTTTCAAAATATAAAGGTAAAGTTGCTTAGTCTCTCACCACCACATGCATATTTCGACTTTTGCAATCCTATAGTTGAGTAATACTATAAGTGATCTTTTTTCATTCTTGCATTTATAATCTCAGGGAAAAGAGACGTTGAATCGCTGAAGGCGTTTGTTATAGAGGAAACTGAAAAGGCAGCTGAAAAATCGCAGCTTGAAGACAAGGAACTGTGATACAACTAGTCAGTGATTATTAGAACCTGATACATTATTCCCTTTGGTTTTCAGTATGCCTATGCAGTTGTGTGACTCTTACTGTTAGTTAGATAGGCATGGCTTCAAAATTCGATATCCAGCACGATGGACGAACATCTTTGGCTTTAAAGGTTTTTCACACCACTGTTTTGCTAAAATTTTCAGTTTCCATTTTATTTACAGTCAGATAGGCAAAGGCAGAAGTGCACTTACTCGAGATTTCTTACAAGTTTGTGTTGTATGTTCGTTTTAAGATTAGCTGCAGACAAAAGTTCTTGCTTTGAAATTTCATATTCAGTTGATTGTCAGAACTACTAATATGCATTAGTAACCTTGAGAAAGAGACAGAGTAATGCTAACTTTAACTGTCTTTTGAGAAGTGAAAAAAACATGATTCTACTGCTGCTTTTGTTCCCACTTCCCATTATTGTTGTAGATAGAGAGAGAGAGAGAGTCACAGAGACTCATTCAACTTCATGATCTGCAAACAAAATTATCAATTTCGATTGTTTTCTGATGAATACATCTTCGGTGTTATACTGTCCACCATCTGATTTTTAGAGTGGTTAAAAAAAAAAGCATCCTCGATATGTACTTATCACAAGAATAAGTAGCTACCCAAAGGGAACTAATCTCACTACTACCGTCTAAAAATGGCAAAATGAAGATGACATTTCCTAACAATGCATCTCCACTATCTCAAGCAAATCCAGCTTCCTTAATCGTCAGTATCGGAATCAACAACTTGGAGGATGTTAAGGGCTGAAGAACCCAGATTCATCCCGCGAACAACACCTCCGTATCCCACCTTGATTCTGTGGCATATCAACAACATAGAGTCCCATAGTGCTGTTCTTCCCTGTTCCATTTCCAGTACATTCATCACAAACCAAAATTCCTTTTTACATGCTCTGGATATGTAAATTGTTCCATGAATATTATAAAAGTGAACTTAAATTCATCATTACCTGAAGAGTAAACTGCAATTTCTTATCCCAGTACAAGGCAAATGTGGGTGGGCTTTGCTTGTCTACCGCAAGCACACATGCACCAGGATGTAGCGTCGAAGGTACACCCGATACCACAGCAATGTACTTCTCTGGGAATCTCTCTTTTGGAGGCAGAACCCCTAAGAATAAAGGGTTCTTGCTTGCCTGAGTTCCTGTATAAGAGCTAGGGTCCAAATGCAACATCCACTTTGGGTGTTCCAAGAAGGCACAAAACAAGTACAGAAGCAGATGAGAATCGGTTGGAGGCTCCAGGCTCCATTTCTTGTTTCTCTCACGAGTATCTGCCCTTCCATTGTATTCGTAGTTCTTCACACAAGTTCCTTCCGCGAGTGCTGCCAAAAGCCAAGAGTTATAAGAGTCACGATTAATCCACTAAAATTTGAATTTGGATTTTTTTTTTTTTAATGTTTGATACCTCGGATTCTTTGCACTGTGTAGTCTGCTGGAATACTGCTGCGAGGAAGTAGGCCCTTAACCCACTCTCCTTTCATTAAGCCCTGAAGCCTCCGATGTTCACTTATAGCATCAACACATTCCTGCATGACAGGGATTAGTGCCGCTTGCTGTTGCTGTTGTTGTTGCTGTTGCTGAAACTGTTGGTTCTCTGTACGCAGCTTTTCTGCAGATGCCAGAAGAAAGAATTAGCAACTATATGAACCCAAACATTTAGTAACAACACATAAAATGACATCCAATCGACTACAACATTACTAAAGTCAGTAATTTTACTGAGAAACATCAAATCTTAAATTGATAACATTATTTTCAAAACAACAGAACAGCACTTCAACTTAACAAGGACAACCTTTCGGACCACATCACAGTAGAAGCTGTAGGAATGTTACTTACGCATGGAAGCATCAATAGCCTGTACAAGATTAGCGCGTAATTGATGAAGAAGAGCATCTTCATCGAGAGAGTAAGAGGGCTGCCACCCCTTCGTTCGATCTACCGGTAAGGCAGTTGTAGCGGTTCCATTTGTTGACAAATCACTTCCAACTTGACTAACTGTGACATTAACACCTAGCTTTGATGCTGTTTGCATTACCTACACAAATGACAAAGTTTAAATTCTCCTTCACAGCAACATAGGGAAACAAGAAATTCTCCTTCTGCCTCTGATTCGGATGTGGTTATCAAATCATTCATCAGCAGACAGGTATAGGAAGACCAATGTTTATTGAAACAAACCTGAATATGACTGGTTTCAACCTTGTTAAGCAGAGGTTTGAGCAACACTGAGGAACACCATTGCCTTAGTCGGTCACGCCAGTCTTCTATCTGAGGATAGACACCTAGATGAATAAAACCTTCGATAGCCCCTTCTAAGGACATTGGGTTGGGGAAATCACCCTCTCCTTTCTTTGGGGGAGTCGTAAATTTCTGAGCACCAGGAGACATTCTGACCGGTCTTAGTGGTGTACTCCGAGTAGTCCCAGATGCACCAGTTGAACCACCAACTGTACTCGGGCTAGCCATGGCAAAACTCCCAACTGTTGGTGGAGGCGTACGCATCTTCCCAGCCGACTCAGTGATTTTCTCATCTATGTCTGCCAAAAGCTGCTCAAGCTGCTCCTCGGTAGCTATGTCTTTTGCAGAACTTCGTCTACCAGACCAAGGACTAGAAACAGCCTTATCCTGACCCGACGAAGCATGGTTAGAAGAAACTGGTGAGCTAGAAGGGACAAGATACATAGACGGTGAACCCATTTGTTTTGAGGGAGTGCTAAATGGACCAATCTGGCTCCCTGGACGGGAATTCAGCTTATCACCACCACCAGAAGACTTATGAGCTGAACCAGTAAGAGTTTGATGATGAATTGGAACAAGCGGCTCCAACGACTGTAAAGGTTTCAATGCAGGACGATTCTTTGGAAAATCTGATACACTCTGGTCAGCTTTTTTCTTTATCCCAAGAAGTTCAAGCTGACGATTTGATAGAGAAAACTGATCTTTGGCTTCTTTAGAGGAAGATTTAGTTTCTCCTCGAGCAGCAAACTTTGCTCTGTGCAGAGATATGCCTTTGGACAAAGCCATCATTGCTCCAATACAAAACAAAGTCACCAGCCCCTGCCACGCCTTTACGGTGACATCTGAACCACAAGGTAAGATCTCAGATATATTACGAAACTAAAAAGGTTAAAAAGGAAATCTCTAAGGAAAAAATGCAACTCACAAGCTGCCTCTTGGGATATTTTCCCGAATGTTAAAGCATTGGTCAACCATTTCTCCCTGCAACATAAGATAAAACAAGCAAATGATTATCAATTTATCATGATAGATCGTTCTCAGATTGAGCAATCCTAAATCACAGAGAAAGCAAACTAGAAAGAAAATACACTTGAGATTCAAGTCGGGATTTTCTCGCTAACCAGAAATATTCCAAATCCTAGACAAAAACTTAAATGTAAATACTCTAACAATGCAACAAAGAGGTAATGTACGAAGCTAAAGCTATTGCTGGCACGTACCCGGCCATGAAGGAGATGAGAGAGAAAGCGGAAGCGGTAGAGAGCAAGAATATGAATAGGAGAACGGATTTCGAGGGACGGAGGCTGTTGGCGGTGGAAGCGGCGGCGAGAGCAGGGTTCCGGTAGACAGAGAACTTGGATGGCTTCGGAGAAGGGGACGAACCCTGAGTGGAGTTAATCTTCCTCCTCGCATCGGAATCCATAGCAGGAAAACGATTTCTCGAACAAAAACCAAAGAGGAGGAAAAGGGTTTTAGGGATCGTCGGATTTTCCCGGCTGAGAGCTGCTCTCAGTCGTTGTTGCGGTGGACCCACCTTAATTTTATTTATATCAATCATATAAGGACTTGCTTATTTGAATTATTTATTTTTTACCCCCAAATTCTTATTTGAATTTTTCCGGACAAAATTCTCAACAGATTTTTTTCCTTTTTATGTATAAATAAACTTTAATAATTTTAGAATGTGTCAAAAGAAAAGAAAATGTGCAAAATGGACATAATTGGTTTAGAAGAATGTTTTTTAATTTGATTTTTGGCTTGTTTTACTAATATTATTTAATTTGATTTGTAAGAATAATTGGGAAAGAAAAATATTAGAATTCCGACAACTCTTACAAATTTTAACTTGTAACAAAAAAAATGTATACGTTCTAGAAATCAAATATGTGCAATCTCATTAGGGGTTAATAAGAAAGGTGAAGATTGTGCAGATGGAACCTATAAACCAGGACATGGGCACAAATTTTAACCCAAACGGTTCAGTTCGATTCCAACGGGATTTATTTCAGCCTGCATCTGTCATGCCTCTTTCCCATTCCTCCAACGCGGCCTCTGCTTTAAGTTTCTCGGGAACACTATCTGCATTCGAGATTTTACACGAATTAAATTGCTGTTAGTAACCGCAAAAACCTCAAAAAAAGGAACACTAGGATATTAAGTACCCGCAAGGAACTCGTATCTCACGTCGTTACTCACGACGGATGCTGCCAAAGAGAAGAAAAAACGGTGTCATCTATCATGTTTAGGACTGCAACAAATCTTGCAAGTGACAAGAACGGATAAACTCGTTATCTAAACTCTTTCTAAGACTGACTACTGACCCTTGTGCAGAAGCCAGAAACAACTAAAATGGAAACCATATGCCTCAAAACAATTGGTGCATCAGCATGAGATTTTCGACATGGAATTCGGTATTGAGGTTACCCTCTTCATTAGTTCAGATTCCAGATATAGTCAATATAGGGTCAAGATTAGAGCTTACAGAGGTGTTTGTAGTGGATGAATTTCTTTTTGTCCAGGACGGAACTATCATAAGCTTCTTCAGAAAACCGCTTAATGAACATCTCCTTCAATTACAAAAACCAGTTAAATCTACTGTAAACACAGTGAACATCGATTTCGAACAACACAACATGAAATCAAAAGGGATGAATGAAAGGCAATGCCAAGTTCCAATACAGGAAAATTAAACACTCATCTCAAGAATCGTTGAAGTTCTGATCTACAAGATACCGGATACCCTAATCACAATCATCAGGTAAGCTTTCAAAATATGAATCATACAAGGACTTTCTTATGTGTTTGGTGTCTACAAGTTCTGGATGTAAAAGCAAAACCTATGACAATCAAGCAGTAACTCCGTTTTCATCAAAACACATGGAGATGAAGCAATAACTTCAATCCCCAGCTTAATTTAACTAGAAAATCTCATTCCTGTAGCAATTTGCGAGATTATAATGCCCATTAACACTGGTTAGCAATTGATACTCCCAAATTCATCAAAACTTATGTGAAATCAAGTTCCTCAAGCTATATCTATGTCAATACTATCAATTGGTACCGTGGCTTTGTTGACAAGAAATACAGCATCCTGCATAATCTGTGGAGCAGAATTATCGATTCTCATGATCCGCCGAATCCGATTCATCGGAAACTTAAACATCTTAGCATCTTCCACACCTCCGTCGTCCTCTTCCCGATTTTTACTCGTCTTCGTCGGAACTCCTCCACTCTTTCCGTTACGGCCTTTGCTCACGACGCCATTACTTTTCTTCGCCACATCACCTCTAATTGTTTCTTCCACAGAGTCACTGCTCGAAGATTCCGAGATCTCGTGAATCTCCGGCACCTTCTTCACAATGTTGACCTTATTCGGCGCCTTCTTCGTTTTGGAACCGGAGCTGCGTGTATTCCGGCCACCAGCTTTATTGACGACGGCATCGCTCCTCGCCTTCTTCTCCTTGGGTTTCTTTGACGACACCATTAATTTTTCAGAATTACAGTTCACCCTTTCGCCTGAATAAATCGATTGATTCTTACACGGGCTTATATATCTGAGCCTTTTAGGCCCATTTATCATAAACGATTAAGTAGTACAGGCCCAGATGAATGGACAATGCGATCTTGAGGAGGCATGACGACTATTTGAAAAGAAATTACATTGGACATGATTTCACATGCACCTCGCAAAACATTGTACAGTTATGGAGAAAATAAATTATGGTAAATGTTTTTGGGATAAGATAATGTTTTAATGCAAGCCCCCAAAAAACATTATCTTGTTTCCGACATAATCTAAAGAGATTTTTGGGATTAGATAAGGAAGAATGGGTAATGTTGGACATATGAGACAGAAGAGGTGTCCGCAAACTGGAACCACCACGTGTTATCAACAACACGTGTGTGACTCCATGAACTCTCTCTGCAATATTAAACGTGGCCTTGTTCGTGTCTCTTAAATTTCTCCAATTGCTCTACTATTAATAAGAGAAGACGAGTTTTGCTTTCGATACACATACACTGTCTTTAACTGTTCCGACACAACCAAAGCTTGTGAAAACGTTGTCGTTTGTTATCAATAATGGCTGCTGTAGAAGAACCGATACTTTCAAGATTGGATCGTATTGATTTCATGGTGAGGAAGCTAGAGGAGATGAAAGGAAGCTCGCCGAGAAGCTCGAGCCCATCGACTCCATCTAGTGGGACTCAGCCATCGTCAATGGACCTGTCGTCACCGAGGAGCATAGGGAAGGTACAGTGCCGTTCGATGGAACAAGTCAGGGAGGAGACTGAGAGGAAAGGAACTTTGCTAGAAAGACTTAATAATGTAGAGGAGCAAGTTCTTAAGCTGTGTTCACAGTTTGAGGAAGAGGTTGAAGAAGAGAGGAAGAGAGAAGATAAGACGGATAAGGGGAAGAAGACGCCAAAGAAGAGGAAGGGATTGAGGAAGCTCGTTGATAAAGTTGTTGGATCTTCTTCTCCGACTAATATCCATTCCAAGAGCTGGCGTTGTTGAGCCAATTGTAGTATTTTATTACCTTATCGATGTATACTTCAACGTACCACGTTTAAATTAAAGCTTCTCTTCTTTTTTTTTCTTTGTTGAAGCGCTAGTGAAAAATTAATCATCTAGGTCTCTATATCGTTTGTTCACGCTTATTTGTTGAAGTTTTTGTTTGTTTAGTGTGCACTTTTTTCAATGAAACAATGGATTTTAGAAGGAAGAACAAGTACATATGTAAACGGTTAAAGAAAATGAAGATGGTGAGTGATCCATTTCCATAAACGTACGGACAATTTCTCAGCGAAGATGATTAAAACTTAAAAGTTAAAAACCCAAGGTTTTGTGTAGAATAGTAGGTTTTCCGGTTTTTCTTGCTTCCCGATCAAATTGTGGTGTCAAAATTTTGATCTAAAAATCAGAGTGTCATCATCGGATTATGACACTGATTTTCCGAGACTTTTCAACGTATTGTTTTTGGGTGTCTAAAGAAAACAGATTTTATCATTTTCTTATCAAAATGTTATAAAAAGGTTAAAAAATCTCACCTTCTTTTCATCTTTCGGTGTTCTCCATGTTTACATAAATTTGTAAAGAAAATTAAAGAACAAGAAATATGTAAAGTTTTTCTCGTCAATGGGGTTTTCTAAGTGTGAAAAACAGAAAACTATTTACGGAGCTCACTCAAATATTTGTTGTTTGACACTTCAACCAATTTTTGTCTTTATAGGCTTGATTCTACATCAATCATTTGCATTCTTTTTTATCCACAAATTGATTTGGTTATTGTTCATCATCCGTTGTAAATTTGTGAAACAATTTTCGCCAACTATTTTTATTCCGCAAAACAGCTGACTTTATTTAAATTAATGTGATCTTTATCACAAATTCACAAGTCACCTGCTGCTGGTGACGCAAGTATCCATCTCTCTGTTACCATATCTCATGATCATAAATTGAAGTAACCATAAAGATGACATAATGTTACTATCATCACCATCGTCATAATAATCATCAGACAACGACGAAGAAAAATCTTAAGTCTACTTATTTAGACACACAAATCTGTGAAAATGGCGATTTAATTAATAATAATACGCTAAACTTTTTCTTAATCAATCAAAGAAAAAATAAATAAGACCATTTTTTACTTTTCCCCTTCTTTATGCAAAATTTGGACCTCGAATTTTCAAAAATTTCGACCTCCGATCTCCATCTCTCTCTCTTCTCTGCTTCCATCATCTTAGGATCTCTCAATTTCTCTCTTCACTGATCGATTAGGGTTTTCGAGCTGAAATCGTTAATCCTCCACCGCGAAGAAGCGATTACCTACTAGGTTTCTTCTAGGTTTTTGGCGGATCTAGCCAAGTTCTCCTTCTTTTTTTCCAGCTCCACTCCTCCCTCGCCACCATGTTTTGGAAGCTCACATCTCTCTCTGCATCATCTCCTGTGAGTTGAATTTTTAGATGTCCTGTTTTATGGTTTGCTTATTAAGGAGCTGGAACGGTTCTCTCTTTGCGTTTATCTTTTGAAGTAGAATAGACGTGAGTGGATGGTTTCACGGACAAATAGTGGAGTTTCTATCCGTTGCTTTGCTTATTCATATAATTTATGTCGAATTATGGATTTGCTAGATTTCAATTTTCTGAATTATTGTCTCTGACTCGTGAATTGTATGTGTGTCTACCGTTTTCTATTTTAGTTTGTTTCGTGGTTTCATCTCCTATGCGTTCTGCTGAAATCAATCTAGACGTAATTATCAAACCTAGCATAAGACTTGTTATACTTCTTTGAGAATGTTGTTGTCAATATCACTTGCCGCCATGGAGATTTGGAATTGTTCATGTATTAATGTTTTTTTCTTTTGTTATGAACATAGGTGGAGACAATATTAGATAAAGAAAATTTCACCTTGGAAGAGCTTCTTGATGAGGAAGAGATTATTCAAGAATGCAAGGCTTTGAATAGCCGGCTCATAAACTTGTAAGCTTTTTGTCATTTGTAAATGGCTTATATTTCCTCATAATCTGTTTCATAGAACCCGATAAAACCCTATGGTGGATGTGGAAACCTATGTCTTCTGTATGTGTGGAGTTTTAGTTAAGGAGTCCCTTTTTTCATCCGTATTTTCTTGGATAACTTTATTGATTGGGTATTAATGTTTGCAGTCTAAGGGAGAAAGCTCAAGTGGAGCAATTATTGCGGTACATTGTTGAAGAACCTCCACAGGATGCTGATAGTAAACGTGCTTTCAAGTAATATGCTTCCTTGATTCTTTCTGGAATTACCTTCTCTTACCATCCTCTCCTTTTTTTCTTTTATCCACTTTTATTTTGAATGGTTCTCGATTTGTTTTCTGTCTAGCTAATACTAGATTCTTCTTCTTTTAGGTTTCCATTCATCTCTTGTGAAATATTTACATGTGAAATTGATGTTATTCTAAAAACTTTGGTGGAGGACGAAGAGGTATTTTTTCATTCATCATACTACCTTTTCCTCAAATAACAGTTCATACTTTTCACTTTTCCGTTCATCTGGATTATGTTTTATTGTTACCCTAGATCTCATTTGTTCGTATAATTTTACCTTGCAGCTGATGGACTTGCTTTTTTCCTTTCTCGAACCAAATCGTCCTCATAGTGCATTGCTGGCAGGCTATTTCAGCAAGGTACTCTCTCTTACAATACCTAAGTTTGCGTATTAGCCAACTTCCTGTAGTTTTTCTTTTGTTTTGTTTGTACCCGTACATATGACTTCATTTCAAGGCTCCGAGAAGTGATTCTTACTTCTCTCTGTTTGGTGTAGGTTGTCATTTGCCTTATGATCAGAAAAACTGCAGCTCTTATGAATTATGTAAAAGTAAGTAATACCATATAGTAAAACGGATGGTAACCTTCTTCTTCTCTTTTTCCCTTGTTTGCATGAGGTTTTACAATTAGATTTTGGTTTAGTTGCTTAAATATATAGTTCTTTTCCATCAAATTTGGGTCGATATGCAGGCTGAAATATAACTGGCTGGAAATTTAGATAGGATTTTTAAAAAAATATATTATGGAAATTATTTGAACTGATTCCTGGAATTATGCAGGAGTACTGTAGAATACGTCTTACTTTCTGCTAACTGTGCTATTCAGAATTGTTATTACTTTCCATTGTAATCTCGCAAGCCAGATCTCTGTCTATTTAGTAAATTGTTACAAGATGAGATTGACATGACTCTATTCTTCAATTGCTGGCAATTATATTGATGTGACAGACAATTTAGTTGAATTTTTTATTATTTGTTTTGCGTTGAGGTACCTACTCTGGCTACAGTTCTCAAAGTAACTTTTGATGATCACAGGGGCATCAAAATGTTTTCTGCCAGTTGGTTGATTTGATTGGGATAACATCCATCATGGAGGTAATTGGTTTGTCTTTGACTCAGTGCAACTTGGTGTGGTTTCAGAGGTCATTTTTGCTATGATATTTATTCGACATTTTCTAGGTTTTGGTTCGCTTGGTTGGGGCTGATGACCATGTCTATCCCAACTTTCTGGACGTGATGCAATGGTTGGCCGATAGCAATTTACTTGAAATGATCGTGGACAAACTTAAACCATCTGTAAGTGGTAAAGCTTTTCTATAATCATCCCAAAGACAAGAGGCTCTTGGTTTTCTCTTTGATGCTTGTAGGTGGTGTAAATCTAGGATATCTGATCTGATATTATTAGTTTCTTCTATCATCTTCATTCTGATATGTTTCTTGCATTACAACTTGTATCAGAGTCCTCCGGAGGTTCAGGCAAATGCAGCAGAAACATTATGTGCAATTTCCCGGAATGCACCATCAGCTTTAGCTACACAGCTCTCTAGCCCTGGGTTTGTAATCTTTTCTTCCATGATGGATTCCTAATGCTTTGGTAGATTGATACAGAAGTGTTTCACATGGCAGCACAACTTTTTCCCTGTTTTTGCAGCTACGTTGCTAAGATATTTGGTCATGCTCTTGAAGACTCACATTCGAAATCCTCTCTAGTTCATTCACTTTCAGTATGCACCTCTCTGCTGGATCCGAGGAGATCTGCTGTTTCATCTTCTATGTTCAATTCTTATAGAGGTCAACATATGTTCGAGTCTCCTGTCCCAGTTTCCCCGGAAACTATTGGTGCCATGCTGCCCAAACTCAGTAAGTTGGATCCTATGATGTACTATCGTCACATGACCATCATGATTATTATTTCTCTGGCTTTTTTTATTTGTTGCATGCACATAATCTAATTGTGCACATGGACAATAGTCAACCCTTTTCTTATGTGATATTACTTTTCATTTGCGAGTACTCCTAGTCTATTTAGCATCTATCTGCACGTTCTGTTTGATCTTCCCTGCTCTCTATTTGGTCTGTTCTATTTTGGTTTATATTGATAAATGGAAACTGGTTTTACATAAGTCTGGAATGCTTATGTAGCACTTCTTGGATATGTATGATACTGTTTCATACAAGTTTTTCAAATCAAGGTTTATGTATTCAATGGCCCTAAGTAATTTTTTTTGTTTTGTTCTGCAGATGACTTGCTTATGCTTCTCTCTGTAGCATCTGACAGCACAGTATTGCCTACAACATATGGTGAACTGAGGCCTCCTCTTGGCAAGCATCGTCTAAAGGTCAGGTCCAAACATTGAGCATTTTATGGAAGACATTATAGTTTTTAGGACACCAACGGTGCTTTTCATATATGTAAAGTCTCTATACTTAACTTGATTCAGTTATCCTATTTTCTTTGTTTCAGATTGTGGAGTTCATTGCAGTTTTGTTGAAAACTGGAAGTGAAGCTGCACAAAAGGAATTAGTTAGTTCAGGAACAATCAAAAGGACCCTTGATCTGTTTTTCGAGTAGGTTTTGCTAAACTTCAAATTTTGTGATCTCCATGTGCTATTTCTAGAGATCTTAAAAAATCAAATACTGTCGACATGTGAAGGTACCCGTTCAATAATGCTCTGCATCATCAAGTGGAGAGTATAATACTTTCTTGTTTGGAAAACAAGAGCGATTTGATGGTTAACCATATTCTTCGAGACTGCGATCTGATTGGCAAATTCCTCTCGTCAGACAGGGACTCAAACCTCTCAGGTGATAGCCAGGTATTACCATTTACTATGTTCACAAAAGTTTTAACTGATCATTTTTATATGAAAGTGTCAGCTTAATGCAGCTCCAAGTTAGCTCCAATAACTCATTGCTCCAATGTTCATTAGCTAAACAAATATTCTCTGGCATTTTGTTTTTCTTTTGTATGAGGTAGCCCACTGTAGCTGCCTCCGGGAAAAAGTCCCCTCGCGTCGGGTATGTTGGGCATATCACAAGAATATCAAATAAAATTGGTCAGTTGAGTAACAGCAATGGCCAGATAAAGGCATACCTTCAGGTTGGTATAAAAATTATACTATCTTGTGCCGCTTCTTTGTCACTTTACACGCATAAAGAATGTAAAGTAAAACCATTAGTTGAGTCTTGTGATGAGTGGTCCTAGCACTCTCTCAGAAATTACCATGTTTGCTGACTGTGCTTTGTTCATTCCCAAATCTTTAGGAAAACAGCGAATGGAATGAGTGGCAAGGTAGTGTTCTGCAGGAGCGCAACACGGTTGAAAATGTTAACAGATGGGGATGCGGGTATGTTAACCTCTACTCACCAATCATCTGTAACCATTTAATTGGTCAGTCTGCTACATCATGCTGATTATGGATATAAAAATTCATGTGTGATCCTTGTTCCTCTTGGACAAAACCCTCAAAAGATGATTCTGCATTGATGACTGATGGTATCATAGTCAAATATTATTTCTTCTCATGACAAGACCACTCAGTGAATGCATCATGTCCGGGGTTTTGGATTTTATCTTCACTCTTCTTGGTTATAAAAATTTCTAAACTCACTGTTACATGTAGGCGCCCAACTACCCTACAAGATAGGGCAAGAGATAGCGATGAGGAAGACAGGGATTACGATGTTGCAGCTCTGGCCAATAACTTAAGCCAAGCATTTAGATACAAAATCTATGGAAATGATGACAATGAAGAGGTATGTTCTTATACTAGTTCTTTTTTTTCATTTATGAATGATTTCCTGTACTGAATTTATCTGTCTTTATATTTCTCTGGTCAGGACCAAAATGCCCTGGATAGAGACGATGATGTAAGTCTTGCAGATATTCTCTTCCCCCTTTTTTTTGAAAAATCAAGGAAACTATCGAGACATATTTTATCACACTATGATACATATGGGGGATGTATGCTAATAACAGTTTGCTATTGAAAATTGGAATGTGTTCATACTATACAGGATGTTTACTTCGACGATGAATCCGCTGAAGTTGTAATTTCATCCTTAAGACTTGGGGATGACCAAGGAAGGTGAGTTTATCTTTTAATTTTTCTGTTGATTCTGGTGTTCTCATGTCCTTGCTTTAACCTCCAGTTACTGTATTTTGGTGATAGAATTATGTCATCTCTCTTGACCAAAAAACGAATGATGACATCTCTCCAAATAATGACTTGAATCTTTTTTGGTACTTTGCCGCAGCTTGTTTACAAATTCGAATTGGTTCACATTCCAAGACGATAGATTCGGCAGCACACCCTCTGACACAGCGGGTTCAAAGACGTTAGAGGACGTGGAATTGAATAAATCCTTTAATGCCAACACTAGCAGTAGTGACGATGATGAGGTTGTGGTTGGAGAAGAAGACGATGATCTAACTGGAAACCCAAAAGACAACGCGTTGAAAACAACTGAAACCAACTTCCAAATGGAGAGTCCACTAGATTTCTTTGACTTCAACACCTCAGAGAAAGCTGAAGAAGCTTTTGCTGAACAGCCACCCGAATGGGTCGGGTGGGGAGAACCATCTGATATGCAAGCGAGTGGCACCGGTCTGAACCCATTTATCGATGATGATGATGATGACAGCAAGAACATAATGAACCTCGACATATCAGTGCCTGAGGTCAAAACCGAATCCATGATTCCAAACGGGTCAGAAAGATCGTTATTTGATAAGGACGTGGAGTTTGTGGGAGTGGAAGCAGAAGGGACAGAGAAAGCGATGGAGCAAGCAATGAAAGAAGGGATAGTAGGGGAAGCTGGAGTGATGAAGAAGAACAAGGAGATGGCTGAGGACCCAAAGGCGGAGGAAAGTTCAGGGGGAGTGAAAGAGTTCAACGATAACAACTACTGGAAAGTGGATCAAGAAGTTGGAGTTTTGGAGTGAAAAAGTCAGTACCTTGTACAGTGTCATTTTGTGTGAAAGTATGATACAAAACTTGTTTTTAGTTGAAATTTGGTGGCATGTATCTTTTTCTCTTTTATCATTAGGCTTCGGTTGTTGTCATCTAGAGGAAGTTGTCTGTGCTTATTTACTTTGCCTACCACGAAGTTGTCAGTCTTTAAGGTATATTTGGACTCTTTTGCAGTTTAGTTACGCTTGACAAACATCAAATCATATATTAAGCCTAAAGGGCGAACATCAATGAATGAATTTGAAGTTATTCACTTCGTTTGAACTAATGCAAGATAATAAGACAGACGAAAACTAGAAGATTATGGGATTGAAGTAAAAAAGAATAGGGTTATTTCAAAGAACTAAAAAAAATAAAAAGAAGCAAACATTGGCTTCGCAAAAAGAGAGACATATAAGATAAAAACACTATCAAACAACAATATTTAATATACCTAAATTCAACTAAACCCCTAAACTCTCTTCATCAGATTTGAAACCAGTCACTAACCCCTACTTTTATACCATATTCTTCCTTCACTTGAGTTCCCATTTCTGCAGATCAGAGACCAAACTTAAAACTGCTTTACCCTCTTGTCCTTATGCTCCGGATATCACTGCCCGAATCATGCTGGTATCAAACTGTTCGTCGTCCTTCCTTCTCATCTCAATGATCTTCCTGTGTGAGTTTGAATGCACAGATGGGATGAAGGTCGGGCTTGAGGCTGGTCGGTATTCTGGAACTAAACGACCAGATTTGAACCGGACCCCGCAAGCGTTGCAGAGGGTCTTCGGTCCACAGGGTCCTTCCCTCCACTGCGGGGTCTTGGTTGTCTCACAATGAGTGCATTTCCGGACTATCCCATCGGAGTTACTTGCCTCAAAACTGGAAGACACCGTGTGGGTGATCAGGTGAATCTTGTGTTTCTTCTTGGCATGTTGCTCAGAATAATAGTAACTCTCGGCTTCTGATTCGCCCGGAGTTGACTTCTCAGGGTTTCTGGGCTCAAAGGGGAAAAGGTAGCTAAGTCTCAGTGTTGTGGGGCGTTTGCGCTTGGTTCTCATGCCTTTCACAGGGAAAGCCAATCTCTCAAGAACTGATACTGGACCTAAAGACTGAAATAGCTTTGAAACATTGATTTCGGGAGGCGCTGAAGATTGGAGGAAAGTGCTGTTGATGCCAGACAAGGCTTGAGAAGAACAGGACTGTTTCTGCACCCACAAAACCAAACAAAGAAGATTTGAAATTCCTGAAATAAATGAATGACTCAGCTATGCCCTCTACATGTATGATGGTTATAAACACAGCTGAAAGTGAAAGATTGACATCACTCAAATTATATGCAGACAATTTGAGATTAAATAGATGATTTACTCTATCTAATTGGGTAAAAATGTATCAAGTAAGTGATAAAAAACAAGAACTCACCATGTTCTTGCGAATGCCCACACGAGCGCCCTTGTCCTTGCGAATGGCAAAAGAGGTGAGCTCAGAAGGCAAAGCAGGGAACATATCCATGGGAGGAGGCTCAAGGTCTTGAAACCTAGCAACCCAATCACCCTCAACATTGGTGGAATCGATGTCTTCAAGTGGGCAATCAAGGTGATTGGTGAGACCATCAAAGAAATCACCAGAGAGAAGACCTTTGAAGTGCTCCTCAGCTTCAGCTTCAGGTAACCAATTCATGCTATGCTGTCTACTGAAACCAAACAAAGGTAAAGAGATTCGAAAATGAGACTAAAATTCACCAAAAGAGAAACGCATATATATATGCAGGCTTCAAAAACAGCTCCATGTCCAGTTAAAAAAAACTACAACTTAAAATTCAATTTCGAGGTTTCACAAAAAAACACTGACACAGGCTTGAGTCCATCATAATACTAAAGCAATGTCAAAGCGACAAACAAAGAGCAAAATTCCCCAACACATAACAATGACGACATTCTAAGGTAACAAAGATTGAAACAATTCCTTCTGAGAATTTATAACCACAGAGATAAGTGTCGGTCACAAGTTTTCCCACACCAACAAACATAGCAACCAAATAAAAACCCAGATAACAAATTTTCATTCCTACATTATTCGAAACAGACGAAAAATAAGGCAAACGTAACAGAGGAAAATGCAACACAAGACACAAAAAAAAAGAGAAAGCTCTCAACCTAAAGAGAGAGAGAGACGCACGAACCTTGTAATATATAATTTGACTACACAGAGAGAAAGGGAGAGAGAGAGTGTTGTCGTACAATGACGAAATGGAGTTGGTCTCAAATTGGGGATTTAGGGATTGAGCAGGTTCGTTCGAATTTGGGAGAGAAAAAGCCAAACGGAGAAATAGAGAGAAAGGTAGATGGATGTCTCGTCGTTATTTCATTCGTTTCAAATTAAATTAAATAATAAATAATGCATACTATATTACCATATGAAAATTAACTGCATATATTAATAAGGTAAGTAAAATGGAAAAAAAAAATATTAGTCAAATATTTTATCTGAATGGTTGAACAAATGGGGATGTTAAATTCTGCTTACCAATCAATCTAGTAAGGGCTATTTAAATGGTCAGTCTGCTACATCATATGCTGATTCTGGATGTAAAAATTCATCTTAAAAGATGATTCTGCATTGATGACTGATGATGGTAACGTAGTCAAATTATATTATCTATTAGAATGAATGCATCTTGAGCTGGTCCTGGGTTTTTGGATTTCATCTTCACTCTTCTTGGTTATAAAAACACTGTTACATGTAGCCATGAGGAACACAGGGATTACCAACTTGTCCGTCTTTAAGCTACATTTCAAATTCGGTTTCCTTCTGTTGAACATCAATCATATATAAGCAGCCTCAAGGGCCAACATCCATGACCGAATTTGAACTTATTCACTACTTTCTCTAGCGTTTTTTTTTTCAACAGATGAAAATAAAGAAGATTATGGGATTGAAGAATAAAAAGAATAGGGTTACTTGAAAGATCGAAAAAAAAAAAAAAAATAGAGCAAACATTGGCTTTCACCTGTTTTCCTCTGATACACAAATGTCAGCCAAACATCTTCTTCTGCAAACATAATGCTCGCAAAAAGAGAGAGAGATAAGATAAAAACACATAATGAAACAACAGAATTTAATATCCCTAACTTCAACTAAACCCCTAAACTCACTTCATCAGATTTTAAAACAGTCACTAACCCCTACTTTTATACCATATTCTTCCTCCACTTGAGTTCCCATTTCTGCGGATCAGAGACCAAACTTTAAACTGCTTTACCCTCTGGATATCACTGCCCGCATCATGCTGGTATCAAACTGTTCGTCGTCCTTCCTTCTCATTTCAACGATCTTCCTGTGTGAGTTTGAATGCACAGATGGGATGAAGGTCGGGCTTGAGGCTGGTCGGTATTCTGGAACTAGACGACCAGATCTGAACCGCACCCCGCAAGCGTTGCAGAGGGTCTTTCGTCCTTTGGGTCCTTCCCTCCACTGCGGGGTCTTGGTTGTCTCACAATGAGTGCATTTCCGGACTATCCCATCTGAGTTGCTTGCCTCAGAACTGGAAGACACCGTGTGGGTGGTCAGGTGGATCTTGCGTTTCTTCTTGGCATGTTGCTCAGAAGAATAGTAACTCTCGGATTCTGATTCGGCAGGAGTTGACTTCTCGGGCTTTCTAAGTTCAGAGGGGAAAAGGTAGCTAAGTCTCAGTGTTGTGGGGCGTTTGCGCTTGCTTCTCATGCCTTTCACAGGGAAAGCCAATCTCTGAGATCCGGAGTTCTGGGTGGAGAGAGAACCATAACTGTTCTCGAGAACTGACACTGGACTTAGAGACTGAAATAGCTTGGAAACTTTGATATCAGGAGGAGCTGAAGATTGGTGGAGAGTGGTATTAATGCCGGACAAGGCTTCAGAAGAACAGGACTGTTTCTGCACCCAAGAAACCAAACAAAGCAGATGGATTAAAATTCAGGAATACATTCAATATGCACCAGCCAAGTGACACAAGATTATTCATGAAATAAATGAATGACTCAGCTATACCCTCTACATGAATGCTGCTAATTATGGTTATAAACACAGTCGAAAGTGACAGATTAACAACAATCAAATTATATGAGTAACTAAATAAGCAAGAAAATTTCAGGATTGTTTACACTAATAGGGTAAACAAGTAAAATGCAAAAGTGAAAAAAAAAAAAAAAGAACTCACGAAAGCAGGAATCATGTTCCTTTGAATCCCCAGACGACCTCCAGTGGCACAAGAGATGAGCTCAGAAGGCAAACTGGGAAACATATCCATGGGGGGAGGCTCAAGGTCTTGAAACCTGGCAACCCAATCTCCCTCACCATTGGTGGAATCGATGTCTTCAAGAGGGCAGTCAAGGTGATTGATGAGATCATCAAAGAAATCACCAGAAAGAAGACCTTTGAAGTCCTCCTCAGCTTCAGCTTCAGGTAACCTATTCATGCTATGCTATCTACTGTACCCAAAAAAAAAAAGGTAAAGAGAGTCGACAATGAGCGTAAAATTCACCAAAAGAGAATCAATCCATGGCCAGCTAAAATAAAATTAAATTTCGAGGATTCACTAAAAACCCTGACATAGAAGACTTGAGTCATAACACTAAAGCAATTTCAAAAAGCGAAAACAAAGGGCAAATTTCCCCAACACATAACAGTGACGTCATTCTACGGTAACAAAGATTGAAACAATTCCTTCTGAGAATTTATAACCACAGAGATATAAGTGTCGGTCACAAGTATTCCCACATACCAACAAAATAAAAACACCCAGCGAACTAATTTCAATCCTACATTATTCGAAACACGCGATAATAAGGCAAACGTAACACAGGAAAATGCAACACTCGACACACACAAAAAAAAGAGAAAGCTCTCAACCTAAAGAGAGAGAGACAGAGACGCACGAACCTTGTAATATATAATTGACTACACAGAGAGAGAGAGAGAGAGTCGTCGTACGATGACGAATCGGAGTTGGATACAAATTGGGGATTTAGGGATTGAGCAGGTTCGAATTTGGGAGAGAGAGAAAAAAAAAAGCGACCGGAGAAACAGAGAGAGAGAGGAGGGAGAAAGGTAGATGGTGTTTTCAATGTCTCGTCAGTTTCATTCATTTAAAAAATTTAAATAATAATTATGGAAACTGCTTTTTTACATTTCTTAACTTTAAAGAAAATCCTTAATCAGTTTCTTTGATCTTAACAAACACAGAAATAAAATCTCTATCAACGCGTTTTACTTCAAATTTTTTGACATATGTAACTCAATAAATATTGCATTAACCGAAGCAATATTTCTTAACTTAATTATCCATTCTAATTGAAACGTTGCCCTAATAAACTTGTGGTACAACTGTAACATCATTACTTCTTCTTCTTTCTTCTGCAGTAGTAAATAAAGATATTATTGCCATTAAAGTATTTGAATAAGGTAAGTAAAATATTAGTCAAATATTTTATCTGAATGGTTTAAGGAATATATGTCGGTGTAAGACCAATCATAAAAAGGATAAAAAAGATTTCCCAATTTTAACATGGTAATACTATGTTGACATAACAATTAAAGATGGTAATATATACTTAATGGTCAAAAGAATTAAAATATAGAAATGATTGCGTGGAATGGATATTTAAAAACAAAAATAGGAAAAGGCACATGCAAAATCAGGTGACAAAAAACCTTGAGGAAGGATGGTTCGTAGATCTCGATCTATAACATTATTATTATTATGAATGATGTTTAATTTATTTAGCAAACAAATAAGTTGAAAACTTTATAATAAATAAAAAGAGTCAAAGTGAAATGGAGAGATCACCGACGGGATTAAGAGATGAGAACCGAAAATATAATAATTATGGAGTTTCCTCATGGGAAAGTGGGTCCCTTGCCTAACTCTTTGCTTCCATCTTCCACATGATATGTTCTTTTACTTACTATCCCCTTCAATTATTTTTCTTTCTTTTTTTTTTATAAAATTTTAATATTACAAGATCTTGATTTTTTTTTTTCTTATATGATTTTTCAAAAATATTGTTTACACTGCGTCGTTGATAAGAAAACAAATATCATGTGGGGGTATATTTACTGCTTTTGTACAATTTGTTATTCACTTCATTTTTTATAGATTTGTACACACACAAATACACAATAAATAAATATATATGGATTCATTGTACTTTAAATTGCACCAGTCAATCGCGTGAAAAATGGTACCAGTCAAATTCAAAACTATAGTGTATTTTGCAAAAAAAAGTGAAATCTTATTAACTTTAATTTTTATTGGTTGCTTGCTGTGAAAAAAGGTTCTTATAAAATCCTAGTGTTATGAATTTTGACAGCTCACTTTTATCAGTAATCTAAAATCCTTTATAACAAGTGCATGGCAATATTAAAAAAAAAAAAAAGCACTCGTTTTTGTGACTTTGCCTGTTTTTTTTTTTTCAAAGCCTTTTAAAAGAAATAAGATAGAGAGGTTTTTACTTGTGACTTTCCCTTTTCACCTGTAAGGTAAGGCGCAACACCCAAAACTTTTTCTTTTCCACGAAAAGTAGAAAAGAAAATACAGAGAATATTACAAATTGGACCCCAAAAGCTCCTTCAAATTGCTGATTTGGCCCAAATAAAGTGACTAGGATCAAATCTTAACTTTAGAGGTTCTTCTTCTTCTAGCGTTTACAAATAGAAAGAAGAGGAAGATCAATAAAAGCATCAAGGCCACTGGTACGAACTTCCATAGCTTCTCTTCACCCATTTCTCCGAAAACGCTCTTTAACTCACTCGGCAGATCAACAATGCTTCTCTTAGACTGCAAAGACAGACACATTGTGAATATAATAAAAACATAAAGAGTTAAGTCTCATATCAGATACAAAAGGCGGGATGTGAAGACAAGAAGTGACTTACAGTTGATATCAACTTATTCGACACTAATTCATGTTCTTTGGCAAAGATTTCTTTTGCATACTTGTAGAGCTCCACATCGAGGTTGTTAAGCGATTTGATCTGCTGAATGACCTCTTTAGAAACTCTTGTACGCGTCTGTTAGATGCATTGTCAACAGATTTAATTATTCAGGCCTTCTCTCATTAACTTTACTAAGTTTGTATCATGTAAAAAATCACTTTACCCCTCTGGTAAAATTTGCTGGAGAAATTCTCTTCAAAGAGTTGACCCGTCTGGTTCCTTGGGACTTCCGTAAATGAGTGATGCAGCCTTCATAGACTTCCATAAGGGTTTTTACCGTCATCTGAAGTGTATCAATGGATATAAAATCACAACAGGTCACAAGCGTTGATAATAAATTGGAAAAGGAAATCTACTAACATTTCCACTCTTAGCTTCTGTGTTATTCAATGCAACTTCAGATGTACCATTCTGCAATATCACAACCACTATCAGCAAGAAAATTACAATTGACAGTTGAACAAACAAATTATTACCTTCTGCAGCAGGACTTTACCTGAATATTATCAGACCCCGATTCTGAAATTGTGACACTTGCTTCTGAAGCATTAAGAAAATAAAGTTGAGAATTTGGTGAGTGCAAGTACAACCATTAGTTATCCTGACTTTAGATAGAGCAAAGGCAATAGAAAGCCTGGGCTGTATGCACATGAACTGTCATATCATCATTCTACTTACTCTAAGAGACCATGATTAACCACCAAAGAAACATTAATAAACCCAGGGACCCAGAAAAACAAGACACAAGCCTCAAACAAAAAAGGGCAAGAGAACCTTTAAAAATGATGTGACAACAAGAAACAAAGAGCAGAAAAATCTTCACGATAAAAGACAATCAAACCTTATACAATAATCCCCATATAACAGAACACATAAAGATGAGCAGATATAAGGAGGGAAAGAACAGTGTTCAGAATACATGACAATCAAGACTAAGCTCTTGAATGGAAAGATTTATTCGAGTTCTTTCTGTAAGTTTCTTAATTTTTACTTTTTTACTTTTTAGAGAAACTTTTTTTATAGATTTTTTAGTTTCTTTACTAAAATAAATAAGAGAAGTAGCTTTCCTAAGTCATTAAAAACAAAATATTAAAAACATTTGAATGAATGATATGATGAGTTTTGGACTTTTAAAAACCAAAACTAAAGTAAAAACCATCCCCAGTCAACACCTAAACTTTACACTGTGACTACAGAATGATCACCATTACCCTCACTCTAAGTTGCTAGGTTCTCCTCAGACATAACAGCAATAGTATCAAGAAAATTTATAGGTGAGAAACTTACACCAACCTGATCTAAGGGTTTTGGTTTTCGCAGTTGCATTGGACGGAACCACTTGAGACAGCACTTGAGAACCCACTACATTGGCAAAAAGTGATGCAGATTCCCTGTGCTCCTCTGTCAGTCCAACATACAACATGTTGTCCAGCCTCCTCTGAAAAAAAAAAAGGCTTATCGAATGCTGATTTGAAAAGAACAATACCAAGACGCAATGAATTATGATGAAGAACCAGTGTTACTACCTTGGCAACTTGGAGAACAGGCTCACCAAGGGTTTTGAACTTCTGCACACAATGCCGAACCTCATGTGCTTCTGATAAATGGGAGTTATTTGTCAATCCTGCAATCTGTGAAATGAAATGAAAATGCTCTGGAGATCTCTAATCAATAATTTGAAAAAGAAAAACAAACAACATGAAAAAGTACCTGAAATGTCGCTCCATTGTGGATTATGTCATGAGCAGTAGGCGCATCAAGATATTTGTGCAAAGGCATAAGCATCTCCTCCATGTCATATGGGTTATCATCCTCAATGATAACTACGCCCTTAACTTTTCGTGCATCTCGCTAAGAAAGGCCAAGCATGAGTAACAACCTTCAGTCAATAGTTTTATGTGCTCTTATCATGTATGAGCTTAAAAGCCATATATGCATGCAACAAAAGAAGACGACTGGGACTGGTCGACATACCCGAGCAAACAGGTCTTCTCTCATCCATGGAACTAGGTATTTCCATGGCCATATGTCTAGCGTGCTTATTACATTACTCTTGCGTATGCGGCTAGACATCCTTGACGCAGAAGTTAAATTGGGGTGCACCAGAAACCTAGCTGCTACCTCTACTGAAAATTCATAAGTGCTTAACACTCGCGCAACAGGATCCCGAACTATTGTCATCACCGAAGTTCTCTCCCTCGGAAGCTTTGCCATCAAACTATAATCATCATGTGTGGCCAACAACTTGCACTTTTCCTTCCTGTAAATTTACGAGTCAAAATGATCTTAGCTGTCGGAAGGTAGTAACACCACAGGCAGAATACTAATTTTTCATTATTCTTCCTTAGGTAAAGGAGGCTAGGGAAAACTGATGCTACAATATTTAAGAAAAGTTAAAATTGAGTCTATTGATCAAATATATGGCTAAGCTATCTAAAAGTCAACATATCAACCTGTAAGGCTTAATTATCAGCCATCTTCTTGTTTCCACAAGAAAGAGTCTTTGGCATCAAATAAAGACATGAAGTTAGTGAGAAAAGAGATGGGAGGAAGATACCTTGGATTGAAGTGGAGCTTGTCGTAAGATCGAGGACATTCCTCAGAGCTATCATACAACTTCCTCAAGAAACTACAAGAGCACAAACACAGTATTAACCACACAATAATCATAAAAGAATCTTCCAATTCACTCAAAAACTTTTTGGTAAAGGGAAATAAAATCACCAATGAAAATATGTCCTGCCTCCAGTTCGGGGAACATGGAGAAAGAAGAGCAAATCCTGAAGCGAGCGTTTGTCTTTTTTAACATGTTCTTCACGAGATGAAGAAGAATCAGCCCACTTTTTCACAAGTCTTTCGCAATGACCAAAGTCAAGTTCCGCAAAAGAGCCAATAACTGATATATAATTTGCCAATTACAAGAACATCAGAAACAAGTCCAGCTTTTATATCAATGAACAATTCCACCACAAAACCATTCTCTACATACCTGAACCAAGAAGTAATAACCCAAGAGCCAGCTTCCAAACAGGATTCATTTGCATTGTGCCTCGATTCCAAACCCTACTGATTACCAAAACGATTTTTTAAAAAGAAAAAAAAGGATGAATCTTTATTCGAAACAAACAAAACCCAGAAAGGGAAAAGAGTAGGTCATCAATCGCTGAGGATGAACATTGCGGTTATAAGTTGTATAAAAACAAAAGTGAAAGATTTTGTAGAAGGAGACACAGAGGAAAACAGGGCAAAGGGGACCCAGAAAATCGAAGGAATTGAATAATGAAAGGAACAAAGGAACAAGAGAGAGAAGCAGAGGCCTACGTGTATTGGGAATCGAGATCTCGTGCTCATAAATTCCCTCGATCGCTGTTTTGGGGGCAAAACTCGCTATCTACTAGGTCCTACGAAAAGAATGAAAAGATGTGTTTTTTTTTTGTGTGTGATTACATCGATTGGAGGAGGAAGAAGACGAAGAAGAGAGATTGTGTGCGCTCCCGAGAGAACAGGGTCACGAGATTTTCTCTTGGTTTCTCGAAAATTATCAACTTTTGGAAACGCACACTGAGGAAGACACTACTAGTGCGAAATTTTGATTGAGCCAAAACGAATCAGAAACAAGTTTTTTTTTTTACTAATTAATTCTTCCGAATTAATCGAGCGATACCAATGCTTTTTTTTTTTTTTTTTTAGTATGAATGCACTTTCCCTTTTTGATTCGAGTGGGGTTTGACCCGTGCATATAGTACATAATAATGGCTAACTTTCAAATTGTCAAAAGAAATATCACTACGTTGCCGTTTACACCAAAAAATAATCCATTTGTAACCTTCACTCACTTTCTGACTTTGAACAACATTTTGATTCCTTTTGAACATTGCATAACTCCGATTCCCTTTTATCGTTGTAATTACCGGTTATCGGAAAGAAAACCGATATTGGTAAACCGTTGGTAGAATCGGTTCCAAAACATGGTAAATTTTTCAAGGTTTAATGTTTTGTTCTTCACTTCTTTTGGCATTTTAATTGCGACTTGGACTCGTGGCCTTGTGGTTGCGTCTGGTGACATTTACATCACTCTTTGTGGGTAAAAAGACCTCAAGGACGAAACTTATAGGGTCTTGGTTATGACTCATTTTCCTCTTGGATTAACACATTAGTGAAGGTCTGCATAAGATTGTAGTTTTAATAACTACAAATGCATAGTATTTGAATCTTGGTGTAAAAAAATTTTCTAAGTCATTGTTTCAATTCAATCATTTGTGCATAGATTTTTATGAGCATTAAAGTTTTCCGTTGAGATTGAGAGTTCAATCCTGACAGTGGCCATACTTTATGCTTAATGTTGTAATAAGGCCTGAAGTCTAGACTTTATTTGCTTTCAAGTAAAGACCAGACTTGTCTATAAAAAATGTTGTGGGTTCGTATGTCTCATGCTGATGGCGGTTGCTGTCTCCTTTCAATCTTGTCATCGTTCCATTCCTTTTGCGATGACTTGTTTGTTTTGATCTATACAATAGAAAAATATCCTTTTTATTTTCTAATGAAATTTGTTGCCATGTTTATTGTAATCCTAAAATATCAATAAATATGTATTTAACTAAAAATATATAAAAATTCCTTTAGAGATAAATATTACCTCCACATGTTTCCTATAAATAGCAAAGTAATTATTACATTAACTAGTATGCTAGATTTGTTTTTATAGTAATTACTGCCATTGGGATTGAAATGCCCTATGAGTTTTTTTATTAAAAAAAATGGTGATGACAAAAATCATCAATGGTTGTAGATTTGAGAAATACAGTAGTATTATAAATGCTTGGAAAAACAAATTCTAGAAGGATAATCGTAAACCCTTTGTGTTTGAAAGAAGGTTTGAGATATTAATAAAATTGGGTCTGATAAGTGAATGGGCCTTAGACTGATTTAGTCTTATGTTTCTCCGCTTATCATTTTTTCTCAAGATTATAAAAATATTAAAAGCCCTAAAAAAAGGCGAAAATAAAAAACAAAAAAAAATTGCTGTCAAAGATAAACAAGAAATTACAGACCTCATGAGTCAAAGGTATAGAGATTTTGTCACTCTTTGAATCTTTTCTGAAGTATCCTCACTGAGAAAGTTCCATAACTTTAATATATTCGGATGATTTCGTATCATCTAATTTTTGTCGTGCAATCTTTTTGTCTTTTAGATTAGATTTTATTCATTAATGGCATCACGATATGCGACTACATGTTTCTTCTCGTACTTAACGCTTAAGGGTATTATTCAATAATCGTGGATTTCAAACTTGTTGCTTCCTCTGGTTTCGTTTACAAGGGCTTTGTCTGAATAGTTATGTATGGTTTTCCTGTTTTTTCCCATATATTGTGACACCATCAGGTCCATCACCATGGACTATGAAGAAAACTCCATTGAAGGAACATCAGCTTATGTAGAACCCATAACTCCTCTGATCTCTAAAGGAGACAGTGGAATCATTGCAATATCTCCACTCTGTGACCACTACAATGATCACATGAGGATTGATTCTCTTCCTACTTGTTCCGATGAAGAAATCATTGAGGCTTTGTATCAAAACATCTTTAGTATTGTACTCAGCCTTCAAATAGAGGAATCTGGTTGTGGTTCTCACACACCTGTCTCTGCGCCTTGCCCTGGAGCTCCAATGAAGCTTACCAAGTTATCAAGAAACATCGATCCAGGATTCCAACGAAAACTCTTCTGACATGACATTGCTTCTGTGTTCGATTTCGAACATTGGATTTAACTTTCTTGCACAAGACTTTGTGGTAATTGTGTACTCTGTTGGGGGAAATAGTTGGTGTTGTATTTGTGTTCATGTGTATTGTGTAGGTTGGATTGTGATCAAATCTGGAAATGCCCACTAAGAGTATTTTGCATCTAGAAAATATCATCACTGGAGTTGCAATATCAGGGAATAAGAAAAGATCTTAGGTAAAAGCTAATAATGTAGATACATCTGAGATGTTTTAAGCTAAATAGGGGACTACATAGATCTCTCTCCTCACACTCACTTGATCATGGAAACGAAAGCTTCATTTACAGAGACATAGTAAGAAGAGGCCCCAATTATTCTTTTACCTTGTGTTGTTCCATGTATGCTTTATCTGCTTCTGCCACGCGATTCTGGAACATCGACCATTCGTTTCTGCATCTCTCTCTCACCTGAAACCGGAGATAACACACACACACTGAGGTTGTCAGGAGGATAGAGAAGCAGGTTTATATTAGTGAACTATAATAATGTGTTCTAATTATTACCCCTTGCCATGGAGATTTCCCCTTCTCCGACTCACCCTGTCAAATTTCATTATTGAGTTGAGATCATTCAGATATATAAGCGCAGAATCTCTTCATTGCTCAGAGATAAATTGTAAAATCACCTGACTTCCAAGGGAAGGAATCACTTGATGGATAATCCACTGTGAATCTACCACACCAATCTTCTCATGAGCAGGCTGCAAATGAAGGATACCACATACAGACGGAGACTTAACAAGGAGAGTTCATGAGATAAACAAAGCCCCAAAGGAAGTACACAGGAAGCAGAGGGTAGTAAATAACCTCAACGCATCGTCTGAGAGCAAAATCGAGACCCCATCCATGAACAAGATCATTCTGCACCAGAAACAAACAAGGTTGTTTTTAAGCTACCAACTGATGGTCGGGAAGACTATCAGAAACCAAAGTAGATTCAGCAATGCCACATTTTCTAGGCATGTGAATACGATGTCTGGTCGTCAAAAGGGTGACCAAAGATCTTATAGTTAAACAAAAACCTGAATCATATGCCATACACATCGCCATGCTTCTTTAGAAAATACAGGTGCCATAATCTCAACAAACCTGCAAGTGGGAAAACACACCTGTTATCGAAAAATGATATAAGCACTCTTCAGTAGGTTAGGCAAAGAGAGAGAATGAGAGAAAGAGTGTACAGAGCCTTACGCAGCACATGGAGGTAAATGTGGATCACTGCACCATCCTGGTTTTTCCTTAGTTTCTCTGTTCACCACTCAAAAACCTTAGAGACAGATTCGAATTCAAAGGAAAGGTAAAAGAGGGAGAGAGAAAGCTCCTACTTGTGGACATCTCGGTCACCTCTCCTCTTTGTCATTTCCCATGTAAGTCCGTTGTTTGGCTCTAAGCCTGGTTGAGAAATCTCCAAACCATGCTTCTTAACTAACTCAATGTACCTGAAAATTAACAGTATAAATTGTAAAGATTGTCACTGATCTGTAACTACAGTTCCAGACAAGTAATTCACCTATCTGCATTGAAGTGCTCGACTCCAAGATCTTCATCCCATATAAATATATACTCATAAGCTGAGACAACATCAGGATGCAAAAATCTCTTTGCATACCACCTGCCAAATATAAACAGCTCAAGGTGAGGATTTTTTCGATAAATTTTCATGACTTTTAGAAGAGTATATCGTGCTGACCTACATTTCAGATTTCTTACCATTTTGTTTGCTTTTTTGCACTGATATGTATTGCGTTTTTGGACCACTCAAACTGGTCCCACTCAGTTGTCCGGCCATCATAATGGAATAGCAAGATTTGGAAATCTTCAGAAAACTGAAGCAATGATGATGAAAGCACAAATCTTAGTGTCGATACTCAATAGTATACAAACAAAGAATTGTATAATACTGACAGCATGAGGAGGGAAATTGTTGCAGAACCTTCTTAACAGCTGCATTAATGTTGTTCCTCTGCTCTAATCCAACGGTAAAAGTCACGAGATACTTTGGCTTCTTCTTCAAATCCTGCAGAGGTAATGCTTTTGTTAAGGAAATCTCAATCACTATATTGTTAGACTATGCCAATTGTGTACATGTTGCCACAACACTTGGTACATCAATAAGATCATAGAACTTACTTCACTAGGTTCACCCCATAATCTGCGCAAGTAAAAATCTGTTTCTGCCACTATAATCCCTGGAGGAAGTAGTTCTGCACCATGTGGATTGGTTGGAACATATATCTGGAAACATAGAAACAGAAATGATACATTTGATTATCATGAAAAACAAAAGAAGTGCCCTGCCTCATAAGTTTCTGTAATATTATGTTGAGTCAGTACAAAGATGGTTCTTGAGATATATATACCTTGGGAGACTTTCTTGAACCAAAATCTTCAGGTGATCTGCCACCAGAAAACAATTTCCCATCTGACATGGCTACATCAAGAGATGATATAAGGCCTGAAGGTAAGCTAATCTGCAGAATACAAAATACATCAACAGGTGAAAAAGAGACGTAAAAGGAAGATATACCTGTGGATCCCCAACCTCGTATACCTTTCTAAAGGCACCTAATGGTAATGTGATACCAACAAAAAACCCAAACACCATTCCTACGATTGTCGTAATGATAAGCTTTGCATTTTCATTTGTCCTTCTGGGAGCACCACTGCCGAAGATAAGCATTTCAGTAATTTGTCAAACTGAAAGCAATTCAGAATTCGTTTATTACATCGAACCGCTAAGAACTATTACCTCCGGTGCATCGTCCCCATCGGATTGCACAATTCTCAAACAATACTGCAAAAACAAACCTAAATTCAATCCTTAAAGAAGACTTTGAAGGACACAAGAAAGATACTCTTCAAGAACTGACGAAATGTTCTTTGTTTTGATCTCTAAACAGTCCTGGAAAATTACATACACAGCAATAAATAGGAAAAAAAATAAAACATTTATCATTGACCTAATTGATTTTAGAAAGCATAACCGTCCAATTTCTTAAATAGCTGAATAATTAACCAGTCACATTTATAGAAAACAAACACAAGTTCATCAGAATTTTACAAATGATTTTTTCAATAGTCGAAACCGACAGCTATAATTGCAAAAAAAAAAAAATGTCGGTGTAATAATCGACATGAATGATCCTAAGCCATAGATTCAAAATTACTTAAACAACAAGGCCGGATCAACATCTAAACACCCATACACAGACGAAATCGAAATCCGGCACAAATGAGATCAATTCCCAAAAATAAATATCAAAAATGAAAGGGAAATGCGATAATACTTACAGAGAGATTAATTGATAGATTAGGGTTTTGAGTCTCTTGAACGATCTCGCAGGGCTTGTGAAGAAAGAAACACTGAGGAGAGAAATCGAGCCGATTGTTTTGTTTTTCTCAGGTGAATTAATTTTTGATTTTTGGAAGAGCCCAACGCTTTTTTTATTTCATCAAAAGCTTCACCTAAATATATGCATACGTGGCTTCCTATCTTTTGATTTTTTTTTTTTGGTCTGTTGGTAGGTATTTAATTACAACATCCATTGTATTTCCAAAACAAACGAATCAAATCAAAATCAATATAGTTCCAAAAATAAAAAATCAAATTAAACAAATTCGTTAATTCCAAAATGTAATAAGAAAACTTAAACAAAGATAAAAAAAAAAAAAAAGTTACCAAAAATAAAAAAGATAAAGCAACAAATCTAGAACGGATAACCAGTAAAAGCCATGTCCCCGGTTCAGACTGAACCAACTCAATTTCTCTCTAAACACTCACCAAACCAGCAAATCACAAAACCCATTTTATTATTCTTCCAGCTTTGGTCTCCAAGAGCGGGGGATGGATTTAGGGCTTTCGATCCTTCTGAGACTTATTCACCATACGAGCCATTGCAGACGTCTGATAACCCAATCCCCCTGCTCCTCCCCTTCCCCCGTGACGAGCAATACAACCTACTTTGGTTCCACAAGCCACTGCTCTTTGAGCCGAAAGAGAGCTCATGGTCGAGTACATGTAAGCTCTCCCTGATCCTTCGTACATCATCTGGCTCCCCATCCTTTCTTGCAATTTACTCAACTCGGCCGACAGTGATTTACAAAGCTCATCACCCGACCGCGCAGACGCTGTCTCCGATAATTCTCTCTCACGCTTTTTAAGAATCGCAACTGCCGCGCTCAGATTACCCCCATCGGCTAAAAATCTAGCCTCTGACATAGCTTGTGCAACAAGAAACCTATTTAGTTCCCTGTCGACCTCTATAGACACCACTTCTTCTCCTGTTACTTCCATTGGCCTTTGGATGCTTAGTTCTCCAGCTTCCACACGGACTATCTCTTTCGTAAAAGGATCTTTGTACACGCATCTAACCTTGAGCAACGACAGGGAATCGGATTCAGCAGACACATTGTCGCAGCACGGGATTCCAAGAATCACCAGGAAGTCCCTTTCTTCTTCTGCGTACATGGCTCCCACATCGATTTTGGCACTTCTCTCATCAGATGCTATACGGCTTTTGTAGCTTCCTGATTTTATGGAGGATATTTTCAGGCCCTGCTCATGAACGCATTCTATTTCGACAACTTGATCAAGAATCACGACGCTGAGAAGCCCTCCGATGCACTGCGCAAAAGCATCCTGAATCATAGTCTCTGCTTCGATGAACGAAAACGTGCCACTAGAGGCTGCTGAAATTGCGTTCAGTAACTCAGCATCGTGATCTGAGCCAAACCCGAAGGTATGAGTTGGAATCCGAGAAGAACTCGGAAGCAAAGACTCATAATCTGTTCTCAGACGGACCCTATCATGAGAAAAAGTATAGTTGTCCTGTCCATCAGACAAAAGCATCATCCCCGAAACAGGGTTCTTCCACCGCCTATCCTCAATCACTCTCGCACCAATCTTGAGCCCCTCTGCAATGTTAGTCCCGCCACGAGCAACCAAGGAGTTAACAGCCTGCATCGCCGCTTGCTTTCCCGTCTCAGACATCAGTCGAAGAGGAAATAGTCTTTGAGCCGTGGAGGAGAAGGAAATCACAGAGAGCCTATCGGTCTCACCAAGATTCTGAATCACAAAACCCATTGCCTTTTTCACAAGCTCCAATTTGACTCCTGCCATGCTACCACTCACATCAAGAACAGCAATGAGATCCAAAGGAGCTCGAGTACGCCTTTCATCATCACTCACACCCTCCGCCTTAAGATGAACCAGCGCAGCAAAATCACCACGACTGACCGGTTTCGCCAGAGCAGAGACTTCAGGGAAGAGTTTAATCTCGAGGGCTTGACGATCAGAAGGATGATCAGCACTCTGGATTTGTGTCTCTCCGTGAGGTAAAGACTCATCGTCTTCAAAACCCATTTGAGCCGGAGTGAAAGGGTTACCATGAAACAAAGGGACTTGTCGGTTACCATGAAACAACGGGACTTGTTGAGCCTGAGGGAAAGGGTTACCATGAAAGAAAGGGACTTGTTTCCATTGAGTTCTGCATAAAGGGCAAATCCTGTTTCCGTATCTGACGTTGGAGTTTATGCAATCGAAATGAAACGAGTGAGAGCACTCTGCAGTAAAGATAGCCTTCCCGTCTCCCTTTTTCATCTCATCCAAGCACAACGCGCATGTACTCTGCAATTTTTAGATTAAAAATAAAGTTTCTTACCACACAATCTTAAAATCTTTAATCTTAAAACCTAAACCTAATTGGTAACAACAACAACAAAAACAAAAACCCTAACCCTAGAGTATTGAATATTTAAATACATTCGATGATAAATTTCGCATCACCCACATAAGAAAAAAGAAAGGGATTGGATATTTGGATTATTGAGAGATATTACCTTAGAAGAAGACGAAGTGGGAGGAGAAGAAGCATCGGGTCCGGTCGAGTTTTCCTTCTCCATCTTTTCGCTTTCCGAGTTCATTATTTTTGTCAAGAAAACCTAGGGCGTCTCAAAAACTTCTTGTTGTATAAATTTAATTTCACGTCTATTGACCTTTATATACAACATATAGACCGACTTATAGCTTTCCTATATTTTTGGAAGATTATATAATTTAGCAATTTCTATATTATTAATTAATGATTAAAGGAAATATAAAGGGATATGGAATAATGGAGAAGGAGGAGAAAACAGTTACCAAAAATTAAATTGAATAAGTACCAATCAATAAAAAAAAAAATCCAACCGAATAAACCCTTTTACTAATGATTTTTGGATTTTGCATTAGAAGAAATAGTGAAGATTTTATGAGTTATAAATCTAAAACTTGAATTGACATATCTATGCATTGGACCCCAAGAGATGTGCTACGAAAACTTAAATCTGTAACAAAGAATGTTCCATTATAAATTTATACAAATCCGCAATTAAACCAAATAAGACGCTACAAATTACAGCGACAAATCTTAAACAGAAATAACCCATATTGTGCTTAAGAAGAACCAGTAGAAACCATGTCCCCGTTTCAGACTGAACCAACTCAATTTCTCTCTTCACACTCACCAAACCAAAATAAAACCAAACCAGCAATCACAATAACCCATTTTATTATTCTTTCTGTCAATTTCTCTCTTCAGCTTTGGTCTCCACGAGCAGGGGACGGTTTAGTAGGGCTTTCGAGCACCAGTTGCTGAGACCGAGTCACCATACGAGCCATTGGAGACGTCTGATAAGCCTGCACCGAGCTAAAACCCTGGGTCGAGTCTCCACGAGCCGTTGCTCTTTGAGCCGAATGCGAACTCATGCTCGAGAAGGCGTAAGCTCGCCCTGACGTTCGGTACATCCTCCTGCTCGTCATCCTTTCTTGCAACGCACTCAACTCGGAGGACAGTGATTGACAAAGCCTGTCACTGGATCGAGCAGACGGTGACTCCGACAATTCCCTCTCACGGTTTCTAAGAATCCCAACTGCCGCGCTCAGGTCACCTCCATCCGCTAAAACCCTAGCCTCTGACATAGCTTCTGAAACAAGGAACCTGTTTAATTGCCTGTCAACCTCTATGGATACCACTTCTTCTCCTGTAAGCTTCATTGGCCTTTGGATGCTTAGTTCTCCAGATTCCACACGGACTCTCTCTTTCGTCACAGGATCTTTGTAGACGCATCTAACCTTGAGCAACGACAAGGATTCAGATTCAGCAGACACATTGTCGCAGCACGGAATTTCAAGAATCACAAGGAAGTCCCTTTCTTCTTCTGCGTACATGTCTCCAACATCGATTGTGGCGGTTCTTGCATCAGATGCTATACGGCTTCTGTAGCTTCCTGCTTTTATAGAGGATATTTTCAGGCCCTGCCCATGTATGCATTCGATTTCGACAACTTGTTCAAGAATCACAACACTGAGAAGCCCTCCAATGCATTGCGCAAAAGCATCCTGAATCACAGTCTCTGTTTCGATGAACGAAAACGTGCCACTAGAGACTGCTGAAATCGTGTGCATTAGCTCAGCATCGTGATCTGAGCCAAACCCAAAGGTATGAATTGGAATACGGCAAGAACCGGGAAGCAAAGACTCGTAATCTGTTCTCAGACGGACCCCAGTATGAGAAAAAGTAAAGTTGTCCTGTCCATCAGACAATAGCATCATCCCGGAAACCGGGTTCTTCCACCGTCTATCCTCAATCACTCTAGCACCAATCTTGAGCCCCTCTGCAATGTTTGTCCCACCGCCAGCAACCAAGGAGTTAACAGCCTGCATCGCCGCTTGCTTCCCTGTCTCAGACATCAGTCTAAGAGGGAATAGTCGGCGAGCCGTGGAGGAGAAGGAGATTACAGAGAGCCTATCGGTCTCACCAAGATTCTGAATCACAAAACCCATTGCATTTTTCATAAGCTCCATTTTGATTCCTTCCATGCTACCACTCACATCAAGCACGGTAATAAGATCCAAAGGAGCTCGAGCTCGCCTAGCATCGTCACTCACACCCTCAGCCTTAAGATGAACCAGAACAGCAAAATCACCACGAGAGACCGGTTTGGCCAGTGCAGAGACTTCAGGGAACAGTTGAATCTCGAGGGCTTGATGATCCGAACGATGACCACCACTCTGGGTTTGGGTCTCACCTTGAGGTAAAGGCTCGTCATCTTCAAAACCCATTTGAGCAAGCAAGGTAGGGACAGAGTCAATATCACACAAAGGGACTTGTTTCCACTGAGTTCTGCATAAAGGGCAAATCCTGTTTCCATGTTTGACGTTGGAGGTAATACAATCGAAATGGAAGGAATGAGAGCACTCTGCAGTAAAAATAGCCTTCCCGTCTTCCTTTCTAATCTCATACAAGCAAATCGCGCACCTGCTCTGCAAATTTTGAAAGAAAACAATCTCTATCACACAATCTTAAACCTAGTAACCTAAAGGGAAAGGGAGAACTAGAGATCAACACTAGTTAAAACCCATTCGGCCACAAACGATAAAATTGCGTCAACCCTAAACCAAAACTTAAGCCACAAACGCTGATTATATATCTTAAACCCATTAGATGATGAAATTACATCAATTTCGCATCACCCACATAAGAAAAAAGAGAAAAGGTTGGATCTTTGGATCGTAGAGAGACAGTGGAGAGGGGTGAGAGAAAGCGAACCTTAGAGAAACGGGAGCCAGAAGAGGTAGGAGTAGAGCCAGGGCGAGAAGAGGAAGAATCGGGTCGGGTCGGGTCAACGGATGATCTTGAGGCATCGCTGGGAGAAGGAGATGAAGGATCGAGGGTTTTGGGAAGAGTGAGACACTCGTTCAAGTCCAGATGCGATTTCGATTCTCGCAAGTTGTTGGGGCTCGCCATTGCTATGCTTTCCGAGTTCTAACTTGGTAGAGATTAATAAGATGGAGAAGAAGGAGAAAGTTGATAAGATCAAAAGACTCTGAAGAAGGAATAAAAAGAAGAAGAAGAAGAAGAAGCGGTTACCATAAAGAAGAAGAAAGCGAATTGTTCAATTCAAATCACTTTAATAAAACGTCAACTATCTCTATTTTTCCTATATTTTTTTACGACTTTTTGTTTAACTTTTTTGGCTTTTTCTGAATGGGGAGTCATAGGACGCTACGGTGGAAACTAGAAAGAAAAGACCGAGATACTTCTTTTAACATCACATAATAGTTTACTTGGGAGTATTATTGTTTTGATAATAAATTCGACTGAAATTTTATGATACTGTAAAAATAAGTAAAATTATGGGTTCTTAAAATCTAGCTTCGAAGTTTGACATATTTAGTTGTCGTTCTATAATTTGGGTTTTCTATAAAGTTAAACAGTATTTTCAATCATCACTTTGTGTTGCTGTGATCAGACTCTGTATCTAATACATGGAAAGTAGAACGTTGCATTTCAAAGGAGACCTTAGCGAACGAGTCGGTCCCTGACTCACTGAATTAGATTAACCACATAATTTACGTAACCTACTTATACATATATATTATCATCTCTCTCTAAATCAACAACTAGACCCTAAACATCTCTCCTATTAGCTCACTCGTCGTCAGAAAGACAAACCACATCATTGTTACTCCGCAATCCTCCACTGCTCAAGCTCTGTTGCGGCTGTTGTTCTTGCTGCTGCTGCTGAATTGACACAGCTGAATATGTCAAAGCTTGAGGAGGCGCTGACGAGGTTGGAGTAGCTGTGGCGACGGGAGTTGAAGAGGATTGTCTATATGAGTTTAGGTGTGGCGCAGGAGATCGCAGACTTGCACTGGCAACTGGATTTGCTGCAGGGGAAACTGATGGAGTTGGAGCTATGTTGGATATGAGAGGCTGTCTGGGCTGAGGCATTGGACAGACTGCGGAATTCAGAGGAAGGGCTGACGGACGAGAGACTGAAGAAGCAAACGAAGATGCCTGAGGATGCAGAGGAGCCGGACCAGGAGCAGGAAATGATGATTGCTGAAGTTGCAGAGGAGCCGGAACCAGAGCAGGAGCAGGAAAAGAAGATGCCTGAAGCTGCTGAGGAGCGGAAGCACTGTAATTTCTCAGTGCGCTCACTTGTGTTGCTCTCTGTGCTAGCTGCTGAATTCTACCTGGAGAAAACGTGCTATTATGACTTCGTCGTCTTATTTCGAAAACCAATTTGCTATATATTATTCGACACTTACCCCTTGGAGCTGCTGAGGGAGATACCTTCTTGTCAGTACATTTGGACAAGAACGCATTCGCCAACAGTTTGTTCATTATAACAAGATTCTTATCCGTCTCTATCTTTGTCGTTCTTGTGTTATGCTCGGCTTCTACCTCATGAAATTTTCTTTGAAACTCTGCTTGTACTTCAGCCATCTTCCTCTCGAGTTCAGCCTTCAAGATTGATTTCTGCTCACAAGCAACTCAGAGTCAATAAACAGTTAGAAAAATAAACCAAAACAAGAGGTAACTGGGTAATGAGGGAAACTGACTTTTTCTTCAAAAGTCTTCTTTGAGTTCTCTGATTCTCTCCGCAACTTCTCCAGTTCATGCAGAAACGGGTCGTTGAACACAGGGAAAGGTATTTGAGGAACAGGTAGAACGGCACTCTGTTCCGTACCATTGTTGAGATGTGATGGAACAAGAGCTGTTACACCAGCTGAATGCTCCACGCCACCTTCATGGACAAGATCTGCGCAAAAGGCATCTCATTGTTAACAGTTTGGCAAACACCTATGTTGACCTAGGTGATACTAAAAAATGCACAAGGCAGTTACTGACTTGCAAAGGTTGACCGCTCTACTCGGGGACCAGGTTCTGCAATTTCCATTTCACATGCATCTGATCCACTTATATGAGGCTCAGCTATTGTTGTGTTATTTAAACCCTCAATGTTAACTGCTGTATCAGGGTGATTTCCAGGCGAAGATAATGCCATAGGAGAAGCATCCTGAGCACACTGTCCAGAAAAATTAAATTCACAAGCAAAAATAACATCTGATCACTACCCACTGTTTGCTTAGTTTCTAACACTAAATTGACAACGAACATTACAAAGGACTAGACCTTTAAACCAACACATAAGAAAGTCCTTGAGCAGAGGCAGGTACCTGATCTGATACAGGAGATCCACCGGTTTCTACCGCATCTGATCCATTTGTGGGAAGCTGAGCCACTGTTGTGATATTTTGGCCCTCAATGTTTGCTCCTAGGTCAGACTGAGTTACAACCGATGCAGATGGCAGAGAGCATGCATCCTGAGCACCCATTGTTTCCTGCAGGAAATCCAGAACGAGCATTACAAAGATGTAAGGCTTTTTAACAACAAAATAGATTTTTCTTTAGTTAAGGCAATAATTACCTGATCTGATACTGCATAATCACCACTCTCTACTGCCTCTGAACCAGCTACATGGGGCTCAGCTGATGTGTTGATATTTTGGCTTTCAATGTTTGCTTCTGACGCAGGCTGATTTCCAGCCGGTGAAGATGGCAAAGGACATGTAACTTGATCACCCTGTCAAAAGAGTCAATTTAAAACAACAATGAGACCTGATCAGTAACCAGTAACCACATTTCCCCGCTTTTTTCACACGGGAAACTCAGAATGAACATAACACAGATTGATAACTTTAAACCAGTAATAGAGAAAGTCTTCAATAGGGACCTGATGTGATGCAGCAAAATCAGTGGTCTCTACTGTTTCTGATCCAGCAGACTGAAGCTCAATTGCTGCTTCAAGATTTTGGCCCTGGGTGTTTGCTGCTGGGTCAGGTTGCTTTCCAGCCAGAGAAGAAGGCATAGGAGATATATCTTGACCATCCTGTCCAGAAAAGTGAATTTAATAAGGAAACAATGCATCTGAACACTAACCGCTGTTTTTGCAAGAAAACAAGAATGAAAATTAGAAAGATTAGATGAACAACGCATCAACTATTCTACAGGGCCAGTAACTACCTGATCAGATTCAGCAGCACTCCTAGTCTCTAACACAGACGCAGGATGTGGCATAGGCAACACTAACTCGTCATGAATATCTTGGTCAAGAGAACAAGCTTCCCTATTCTGCTGGTCAAAAATGTTATCAGTATCAGAAACCACAAGACTTGTTCTATTATTTTCTGTTGTAACCAAAGCCTCCTCTCTATTCAAAGAAAACTCGGGGGAGGCAGACTTTGCAAGATTTTCAAGTGACTGGGATACCTCTGGCACCCTTGACGAAACATCTTCATCTGGTCCCGCAGACGTTATTCTGTCACAATTCTGGTTTTCCGACAAATGTACGCTCAAGGCCGCAAATTCCTCTTGACAGCCAGCAGGAACCAAAATCTCAGGCACAGTGATAGAAGCGTGCTCATTGGATTGGCTCTTTGTAACCATAATCTTTGTAGGCTGTCCATGAGACAAATCTGAGACATCCATCGTCTTGTCATTTCTTACAGCCACCATTTCATGAACTTGTTGAGTGCTGCCACCCGACATGGTTGCTAATGTGTTTTCTGCTTCTGGCAAATTCGTATCAGCATAAGTACCTTCAACGTTCATATCATTGCAAATTGGTACATCAGGAGCATTTTGGGAAATGTTTGATGAGCATAGACCACTAAGATGCATGTTGTTGCGACTTTGAATGGGAACACAAACTTTTAAATTAGCTTGTGCCCAGCTCTTTAACCGATTAATCCAACAAGCTTCATCCTCAGCCAACTTCTTCTTTGCAGCCTCGTGCATTTGCTCCAGACTTTTGAGGCATTCATTTTTCTCACTTTTGATTTCATCCAACATTCTTTCAAACTTATGATCCAGCTGTTTGAGATCATCCACTTGAGTACTGGTCCGTGAACAGGTAATACGAATTACTGCTGCTTCCACATTTTTCCTAGTTTCAAGTTTCTGCTTCTTGTCTGCATACATATTTAACAGCTCCAGTTTCTTCTCCTCGTGCTCTTGTACAAGCTTTTGCACTTGCTTCTTCCATTTCTTTTCTATGTCGCTAATAGTCTTTTCGACATCTTTTGTTGCTGTGCTATAATGGCTACATCTCTTCTCAGTAATGCATTCTTCATCCTCTGAACTATTACGCATCGACTTCGTATTGTTCTTTTCCTCACGCACTGTAGCCCCTGAGAGACTTTCATTCACTAGTTGTGTGCTAACCATTGACTGTTTAGAATTAGTACCAAAGCAATCGAACTGCAAACCTTGTGTGCGCTCCAGGAACAGACTCTTCATGCAGGACAATATCGAATATATATAATCCACCTCTACTCTAGAGCAATCGAAGGCTAATTCAGATTTTGCACGGACCAGAGATTCTTTGTGGCTAAGATTTTGCTTTACCAACAAGGCTGCAATCCAACTCTGAAAAAGGCATTATTAACAACGCATTCAGTATGTGAACTATTCATAGATTATGCAGCGATCAAAGGCCAATTAATAGATATTTGTATCCTATGATTGGAAAGTTTAAACTAAAGAAGTGGTGCCTTCTGAGGACATTCGAAACAAAGTCAGATGAAGAAAGAAATAATGCATAAATTATCAAAGTAAATGCTGTCATACCAGGGCTAACTGGAATGCCTGCAATGTGCTGGCTGGCTCTTCGTAGATTCGGTGATTTTCAATAACATATTCAAGAAAATTTTCGACCATGCTTGTGCAAGCATCCTGAAAACAAAATAATATGTTAACCAATCACACATTGCAAAATACCTTTTAGTACAATTTTGATAGACGGAGCACCATGATAATAACAGAAGTATATGGACACGGCAGCGGAAACATCTATTAGCCAATATATGAAGATATATGACAACCTAAAAATAGCATCAGTCAATGTATCAGTTTCTATACCAACAACAAACAGATAAACTTTTGACATGTCTTTCATCAGCCAGGTACAAAGGCCTGAGGTTATATATACTCCCACAAATGGATCATGCAAAGTAGACATAGTTTTATTTGCTTCAACAAATAATGGATGACATGAGGCACATAACTACCTACTGTTTTGTGCAGCAGTTGCTCATTTTTAACAGTGCATTAGTAACGAAGCCAGATATAAGAAAATGAAATAGGCTTAAACGTATGGAATATAATTGAACAATAAAAATTTCACATTTGGCAGTAACAGAGGAAATCAGGTAACAATTACAGTTACAATCCGCAATATATATGCATATGCAAGGCTAAAAATAAGTTGTGGAGGTTAAAAAGGCCACTTACTGAAAGATGCAAAACTTGGCAAAGTTTTGCCATCTTCAGCTTTAAAACAGCGTGGAGCCTCCTCTGTGATTCACCCGGTATTTTTCTCCAATCACGACCAGCTAACATATCCTCTGGAATTCCAGAGATATGACCGCCCATAGAATACAAGCCATAAGCATCATTTCCATCCAGAGTACCATCTGCACCAGAAGTAGATTTACATGATGACTGGAGTGCTATGACTTTTGGTGACTCCAAAGCCCCTGTAGGAAAGATAGACAGCAAAGTAGTTGCAAAATCAATGAACACTAGCGGTTTAGGAGTAAGAATTGAAGTATTATACCTATGTGATCCTTCCCAGAGGCCTTTCTTTCATCATCATCTACAGGGGGATCAGTGACATCATCAGAAGCCTTCTTTTGCTTCTTTGCATTTCCGCCATCGCCAATTTTGGGACTCTCTTCAGAGCCCTCAAAATACTGAACTCTTTTTCGATTCCTTTGGGGAGTATCCGAAGGGTATTTCCACAAAGGATTCTTTCCCCCCAACAGCTTTGTCCAAAATATATTTGGACTATGACTATCTTCATCTGACAACTTAATATGGTCTTCACCAAATAGAGTAGAATCACTGCTGTAAGTTCCCTGAGCATGCTTGGCTTCCAAAAGTAGACACAGCTTGACTTCATTTTCTTCTCCACCTTTGGAAGAAAGTATGGACGAGAATTCATGAATCACGCCGTCCATAATAGATTGTTCAAATGAAACTCCTGAATGGGTGGTTTCACTGCCGTGAAAATGATCCAGCCTATCAAATAAGTATGACGCCCCCCACATGAGCAGTGCATGCGTGAGAGAACGGCTTAGGTTCTCTACAGCCTTATGGTGCCGCTTATTTTGCCTAGCCAGAATCAGGGCTTTTTCTTCAACTGTACATACTGAGTACAACCGGAATATCTTAGTTCTTTCAGAACATGACTCGATTTTTATCTTCTCTAAGTGCTTAACATCATGCGATGGATTCAAGCTGCTTCCAAAAAGAATAAACACTTCAGCCCGCAAGAGTTTAATGGTTTGACTGCAAGCACGTGTTTCCAACAGCAGAACACAGCATTGACTCTCCTTGTTGAAATTGTTTATAGCGTTCTTCTTTGAGGAATAGATCCCATGCTCATAAGATTTTGGACCAAATCTTTGACCCACAAAATCTTCGAGAATATTACCAAGCAGAAGCCCTTCAGGAGTTTGTGCTGCCTGTTGAAAAAAAAAACTGTAATTCAAACATACATAAGGCACATATAACGACAAAGAAAGAAGAGAATAGAAACATTTCAGTTCAGCGTATCTCATAGTGCCAGCTGACTACTGAAGGCTAATTTACAATTCATCATCAGATGATAAAAAGCATACTTTCACCCCACTCAAATTTCAGTACAAGACAGATTACATTGTCCAAAAGTAAGTGCATATATATACTGAGAATGCACAAAGTGACATAACCATGATAAACATAGAGCTATCCACATTCGTAAGAAATAGAAATGCACCTGGTAGAAGACAACTGCTTTTAATCCATTCTTTTTTATATGAGTAAGCATTTCATCAAGGAGCTGAAGTTTCCCACTAGCTTTAATTTCTACATCCAGGATTTTATGCAACTCCAGATTCTTGGTGAGCAGTTGTTTCAAAGATGCATCCATAACGTATGGATGGTCACAGGTCTGTCAACAAAATTGCAAACACACAAAGAAGGTTTTAATATATCCACACATTAACATGCAAAAAGAGGCTTTGAGAAAATGTGATGCTGACCGACAGTAGTAGCATATCTAAGCATCCCCAAAACTGTCAAGTTTGCCGGGTTCTATGTGTTTCAAAAAAGCATAAAACAAATCGACCAAAACCTTTGCCCTACCAAACATCTAACAGAAAGGCATCACACCTATGTGACAACCTCTTAAGAGCATGGAACACAGAATTATTTTTTTGGCTGCAATGCTGTGAACACCTTATCAATTTTTCTATTGCTTTCTGTTATATTATCACCAGTGTTAACTGGATACTTAACGCACAAGTGCATTGAAGAATAAGTTTTATTTTAAAATCAAAGTAACTTACTTTCCTTACAGAATTGAGAGTTTCTTCGAGAGCTCCAAGATCAATCTTTGATAGTGAAGAAAGAGATAAGGATTTGGAGAAGAGAGTCCGACAGTATTGCTCCAGCTGTACGTCTGATAGCTGCACAGGAACCCAATACTCTGGATACATCGAAGAATACAATTTGGGTTCACTTGATTTACCGTGTTGCATTTGCCCGTTCTCCTCATATTCCCTGCTCGTAGCTGGTCCAGTTTCCTTCATATCCTAATCAAATGCAAAATAGAATTGCAAATTACAAGTAAAAGGATAAGTAAATCTAATATCTAACTATTAAACAGGCAACTGATTAACGGGTGTCCTAAGGAAAGTAATTAGAAACCAACCTGCGTCAAGTGATCAGATTCTTCAACTGGCTGGGCAATGCAGGAGCAAACACTCAGATTTTGAAAATCACCATTGACCCTTCAAAATTTTGAACAACTAATTACAATACAGAACATATTTCGTTACCAAAAATTAACCTAAGAATCAAACCCATCTGTCCAACATTCATCTATGGTAGAAAGACATTGCCAGATCGTTTCAATAGACAGACAACACTAAAAACAAACTCTTACTTTTGCCGTTTTTTACATGTGTTGCACATTTCAGGTTGATTATCTTTTTTGCACCCAAATGGAGATGGAATGACCCCATCAGAACTCATAACGTGGTCATCTCCATTTGCAACTGTGGCACATGCATCCAGCTCAATTCCTGCAGTGTCTCTTTTTCTTTTCAAAGGCAAACCTATGTCGGTTTCTAAACCAGTATTACTGACAAAAGGCTTTTGGGTTTCTAAATTTTCAGATGGTGAAGCTATAACGCTGTCATCCCTAGTTTCGACTATGGGGGATGCATAAAGAACCATCTTTTCGGTCTCCGTTATTGATTTCAAAGGAAAATCAGTGTCCTTCTCTAAACTAGTTTCGCCAACTGGCAGCTTTTTTGATTCTGCATTTGCAGGTGATAGACAATCTGTGTTACCATCTTGAAACTTTTGTGGATATTTCTTCTCTAAACTAGTTTCACCAACTGGCAGCGTTTTTAATTCTGCCTTTGCAAGTGGTGGACAATCTGTGTTACCATCTTGAAGCTTTTGTGTCTCTAACTTCTCAGATGGTGAACCTATAACGCTGTCATCCCCAATTTCAACTATGGGGGATGCATCAAGCACCATCTTCTCGGTCTCCGTAACTGATTTCAAAGGAATACCAGTTTCGCCAACTGACAGCCTTTTTGATTCTGTATTTGCAGGTGGTGGACAATCTGTGTTACCATCTTGAAGCTTTTGCGTCTGTAAATTCTCCGATGGAGAACCTATAACACTGTCATCCCCAGTTTCAACTATGGGGGATGCATCAAGCACCATATTTTCGGTGTCCGTAATCGATTTCAAAGGAAAGTCAGTGCCCTTATCCAAACTACTTTCGCCAACAGGCAGCCTTTTTGATCCTGCATTTGGTGGACAATCTGTTTTACCTTGAGCATCATCATTGCCTGCAGGTATGCGGCGAGAACAACCAACAACTACTAGTTCCTCTTCATTTGGAGAAACGTCAACTAATGCCTTGGATTCCTTGAGCTTCCCTCTAAACAACGCCCTGAAACTTCGGGCTGACATTATAGGCCCCTGTTTGTTGATCTTATTTGTCGACTCCTCAACACTGTTTTTCCTTTTATCCTTCCTCTGCTCAATATCCGATGAAGTGTCTGCGTTCCTGCCAGAATTATCTGATCCTTTGGAATTCTGCAAGGATACTACATTCTTTCCCCTATTGGACCTTCGCAGAGGACTTGGTGTGTAATTCTTGTCCATTCCACCGGACTTGATCGCAACAGAAGCAGGTGAGGGAGCCAGTCTCTCTGACTTTCTAGTAGCAGAAGCTGGAGTTATTAGATTCGTAGATGGTGCTCCCCGGCTTGACCTCCTCAAACCAGGGGTTTCTTGTTCAGCTGAGGCAGGAATTGAAGCTGCTAGGGATCTGGTGCAAATGGTTCGCCCCGCCGAACTATTCTTTTCATCTTTCTTCATATTCTCTGAAACCACAAAACGGAAAAGACGCTAACAACCAAAACCAAGCACTTAAAAACCTAGAGTGTGAGCACCGAAGAAGACCCATCAAACAAATTCTTTGAAAAAACTTTCAAATCAAATTTCCTATATGCCAAACTAATGTGTTACATCTAACAGACGCCTAAGATCCATCCCCAGGTATATACGATTCTCTGAAAAACCTAAACCGCAAAGCTCGAGGCCCGAAACCCTCAATTCACAGATCAATGATCCCATCCAACACCAACCTAAAACAGAGAAGGAAGCGTACCTGCGCGAAAGTATGATGGTCAGAATCTATCGCTTCACGAGCTTGGTGGCAATTTCCGATTCCGAGAGTGTGAAAAAACGCGAGGGGAAATCTGGAAATTGAGAATTCCAGCACAATTCTCGATTAAGCGCTTCTTCAGGCCATGCAATCCTCACGGTGTTTGGGGTTTCGGAAAAATTTAAGTTTGAAGAAGACGAGAGTTGCGTTTGCAGAATTATGTACGGGGCGTCTCTTTTAGCACCGGCGTTTCTCGAGTGTCCGATTTTGATTCTACGATTCCTCCAAGGAAAAGTTCATGCTTGTAAGGCATTCTGATTTCTGAGATTAAATTTCCTTTTTTTTTTAATGTTATAAGTTATAACAGTAGTGTAAACTGTAAATAACATTTGTTATGTGAAAATAATTAAATGTTATTTTAATGTTATAAAAATAGTGTAGATAGGATACGAATATTATGTGTACTATTCTAAAATTAGAAACGAATTAGGATACGAAGATGTAGCTAAAATTGAACATTAAATGGAACAAATTAATCATATACATTATACATAATATAATATGAAATAAAACTGAGCTCTTCATGTATTCAAAAATGATTAAGAATCTCCCGAGATAAAAATAGAAAATGATTTTTCTTTTATATTAGTATTTCATCAAGGGAATTTGACTGAATGTACCACATTTTGGAATGTGGCATTCCAAATGTACCACATTTCCCAACTCCTTTCCAAATGTACCACATTTGGATACCACACGCATAGATCCGGACCAAATTACCCCTGATGCAGACTGAAGAGAGTGGCAGGGAAAGGGACAGGGTGAGGCGTCGCGGGTAAAGAGGGAGCAGGGTGCATTTAATGCTGCACGGTTACAATTGCGTACGGGATGAATTTTAATATTATGTTAATAGAGTAGGGTTAGGCCATAATTGCTCTACTAATACATCATGTAAAAGAGGGTTGTGTGTAGATCTGGATAAACTGGAATTCTGGGGATAAAACCCATATGTTGGACGAAATTGAAGTTGGGGTAGAAGCAGGGACAGTAAAAGCTTTTGAAGGTAAATTTATGAATTTAATTGTAGTCCTTCGAAAAACGGTTAGGATTGTTTGTTTGTGATAAATGCATCCAACTATCATACTAATTTGGTGTATTTAATGGAGGACGACAGGTTTCAATGGACGAAGGAGTAATGATATTGGTCGGATCCTGGGAATGCAAAGAAAGTGGTGAGTGGCGATTCAAGATGTCAGCAAAGAAATATGCAAAGTGTGTAGATGTAGGAGAAGGAGACACAATTAGTGATGTTGAACAGAAAATTGCTACAGCATTTGGAGTAGACAGGAAAAGGACAAAATTGGAGCTGAGTTTTTGGTTCGAAGGAGGAGACACTGTCTTCACGCAACAAAAGATGCCGCCTGTCTCTGTTGATAGCGAGAGTTCATTGTCGAAGTTCAAAAAGATAAGGGTAGATAAAGGAGGTATGAACATGTATCTAACTTTAGTAGAAGACGATGGAGAGTGTGCAAACACCGGGGGACAACACGCAATCAGCGGACCAGATTCGAATGCTGACGGGGACAACACAGAGGTGGGGGCGGGTGACATGGAAAGAGAGTGCATAGGTGCAGGTGAAAGCACACAGTTTATCCCAGTTACTTTTGAGGAAGAGGAATTTTTGGCTGACATATATGAGTTTGAAGAGTCTTTTAAGAGGAAGAAAGCTTCGCTTGACAAGGAAAATGCAAAGAAGCGCCGAGAAGAGGAACTAGTTGGAGAATTGGATACGGGTAGCGATGGCGGGAGATGGGAATCCGACTCAGAAGATTCCGGAGACTATGACTTTGACGCCATGAGTAAGTTGATAGAAACAGAGTACCCGCCGGATTGGGATCCTTGGAAGACTTCGAAGGAGAAAACTATAACGACTGAAAACGCAAGAGTGTGGGGACAGGTGGATGACAATGCGGTGGAGGACCAGGGCGAATATTTAATGAGTGGAGAATCGGGGCCCCAGCTAGTTGAAGTTGAGGTTGCTGAGATGGGCGGAAGAGAAAGGGGAACACCAGGTTGTAGTGCTGGGGCGGGAAGTGTAGAAATGTCAATCCAAATGGGGCAAATAAGAATGAGGCAAATAGGGGCAAATACGCAGGGGACAGAAACGTCGGATAGTTTAATTCCTTCTTGGGAAAGTAGTTGTGGGAGAAGGAATACAGGCAGTGGACGAACTCAGACTGAGTTAGGGCTAGTGGACGTTTCGGTTACAGCGTTGCCAAGAAGAGAAGATGCTTCAGCTTTTGATGACGTAGAAGGACAAGGAAATACAGAGGAGGGCTTGGGTGGTAGGGCTGGAGAGGATAGTCCAGAGATGTCACCCGAAATGGGCCAGAGAATAAGGAGAGATAGAGAGACAAGTTCGCAAAGGACAGAAACGTTTAATACTGACTATGGCAGGACCACATGGGACACGACTGGACGAAATCAGATGCTTCTGGAAGGAAGACCAGATGCTTCAGCTTTTGTTGAGGGAGAACGAGAAGGAAATTTAGAGGAGGAGGTCATGGGTTGTAGTGGTGAAGAGGAAAGTGCAGAAATGTCATTCCAAATGGGGCAAACAAGTTCGCAACTTACATTGGGGGAAAACATGTTTACTGAACTAGTGGGGGACGATCTTGAGATGATTAGAGATGCCGCACCATTCAAGGACAACGCAAAAGGAGTTGCTCAAGACACAGCAAACATGAATCTTAGGAAGGCGGGCGATTCAATATATATTGGAAGGATATTCAAGAACAAAGCCGAGTTGCATAGGGCGTTGTGTGTGTACTCTATTAAAAGGCTATTCAATTTCCGAATAAAAGCTTCAGACAAAATGCGGGTAATTGCGATATGCCATGATTCCAAATGTCACTGGAGGATATATGCAACGTTTCACGAGAACTCAGAGAATGTGGAAATTCGAACAGCAACTCTGAAACATAGTTGTGATGTGAAATCGCGGTCTAAGTACGGGATGAAAGCAACACAATCGATTCTAGGTGATTTGCTAAAAGCAAAATATGCGCATGGGAAGAAGGGACCGAGGGCTTGTGAACTACCAGAGATAGTATTGGCCGAGCTAAACGTAACGATATCATACATGAAAGCTTGGCACGCGAAAGAGATGGCAATGAAAAGAGCTCGTGGTAGTGAGGAAGACAGCTATAAGTTCTTGCAGACATACCTGCATCTGTTGAGGACAACAAATCCAGGTACGTTGTCCACAGTCCATACGGATTACACTGAGGAGGGGGATATTCGGTTCAAATATCTTTTTTTTGCGTTTGGGGCTTCAATTGCTGGGTATAAGTATCTGAGGAAAGTAATAGTGATAGATGGAACACAGACGAAAGGAAAATACAAAAGCTGTTTGGTTGCTGCGAGTGGACAAGACGGAAACTACCAAATATTCCCATTAGCATTTGGTATTATTGACAGTGAGAACATCGCAGGGTGGACGTGGTTTTTCGAACAACTTTTGCAGATTGTCCCCGATGAGGAAGATCTTGTCTTCGTCTCTGATAGACATGCAGCCATTTATGCTGGACTAAGGACGGTGTACCCGCTCGCAAAACATGCTTGCTGCACTGTTCATTTGTTTAGGAACGTTGTCCACCATTTCAAGTGTGAGGGGCTTGCAAAAATGGTCTCCAATGCGGCTAGATCTTACACTGTGGGAGATTTACGATATTGGTTTGAAGAAATACAGAGACGAAACATTGAGTGTGCCAATTATTTGGTAGAGATAGGGATTTCTCATTGGACACTTGCTTACTTCCCGGGCATGCGATACAATGTGATGAGCAGCAACATCTCGGAGTCCCTAAATGCTGCAATGCAAAAAGCCATAGATTTCCCCATAGTGACGATGGTGGAATTCATAAGGACAATGTTAATGCGTTGGTTTTGCGAAAGAAGAGAAGTTGCAACAAGAACTCGGACAAGATGTACGCCAGAAATCGAGGAAATGCTAATAGATCATCTTAAAGAAGCTACTGATTGTGCTGTCATAGCAGCAAGTGAATGGATTTATCAAGTGAACGACGGTTTTGGGATCGTTTTCACGGTGGATCTACAGAAGAAGACATGTACTTGCAGGGTATTTGATGTGCTAATGGTGCCGTGTTGCCACGCTTTGGCTGCGGTGGGGATAAGGAACGTGGACATATACTCGCTGGTCGGGAACTATGCATTCGTGACGGAGTGGCGTAAGCTATGGCGTGAGCATATTCTACCTCCGCCAAAGGAAAAGGACACCGAGGTCCCGAACACTATTAGTGAGGTGGTTGTGATTCCACCAAAAACAAGAAGACCAGGCGGAAGACCTAGGACAGTACGTATACCATCGCAGGGAGAGCAACAAGTAAGTAGGGCAATTTAATAATAATCGATTTCGTCCTTTCAATAAAATCTAACAAACTGTGTCCATGGATGTGTAGGGTGCAAGTTGGAAAAAGAAGAAACCAAACAAATGCACTACGTGTGGACAGGATGGCCACAATAGAGCAACTTGCAAAAATCCTCTCTAAGGTTGCGGGTTAGAAGCCATTCCCGGATTTTTTTTGGTTTTGTACTATGGATTGTTAACGGAAATTAGTTGTTGGTCCATATGGTGATAAATGGCATATTTTGGTACATCAGCAGCTTTTGGAGATTTAAAAAGCTCTGGCGGCCATGCTTTGTTTGCCTAATAATATGGAGACGATATCTTCAGGGACAAAACATAATCAAATGAGGTTTAGTTTTCGGAAATAATTATACCTCCGCCTGTACTACATCTTCGTCATCTTGAACATCCTCGGGATCAGATACCCCATGACTCCCATCACTACTATCGTCCCCCGAACGAGACTTGTCCTCTCGAAGAACATCCTCACCAGCAGTCTCAGACACACCAACAGACTTTCCAATTACATCTTCTTTTCTCTCCTCACAATCAACAACAACATCGACGTTTACAGAGCCACCAACGGATTTCTCAACAGGGACCTGTTAATAGGTGATTAGAAGAATGGATCATATACATGAAAGACAAAAATATATGTTTGCAGAGCAGAGCAACAGACAAACCTGGTCCGTATTTTCGCCATCCTCAGATTCTTCAGTTTCATCATCCTCTATATCTTGATGAGGCGTTTGGAAGTCGTTGGGCTACAACAAGTAAAGAAGAAAAGAAATTCAAAAAAAAGAAAATAAATAAACAATTTCTCAAGTCTTTATTTAAACTTACGTTGTGATCATGAGAAAATTTCTCTTTAGCAGCCTTCGCATCGAGGACCTGTTACAAACTGTTTTTGAAAAATTTCCATTTTTTTTAAGGGGACTAATAAAAAAGGATAATATAATACAAACCTCATCTACAACCATCTCGTCCTCCATTTCGTCTGCGTTGTCCTCGTGTATAGTAGGCAATGGCGTTTGGAAGTCTTTGGGCTGAATAAGATGAAAGAAATGGGGTTATTAAGGAAGCTATAAAGAAAATTCAAACAACCAAAATTCGAAAACATGAACTTACATTGTGATCACCAGAGAACTTCGGTGTAGACACCCCAGCCGTAGAGGGACTAGAAGTAGAAGCATCAGTAGAAGCAGAAACAACAGTGTCAGAAGGACCAAAAGCAGAAGGACCAGTCCCAGAAGGAACATAAACAGAAGGACCAGACGCAAATAGACCAGCAGTAGGACCAGAGGGAGATGCATAAGACTGGCTAATGTTTTGTAAAACATCAGACAATCCGCCGTATTCAGACCAGGCTTGCTTCTGAAATTCCTCCAAAATTTGAGTGTTGCTTTTCCCCTTCGACTGATCCAAACCAAAAGACGGGGTTTGAGGACCAGGGGGCGCAGGAGGATCTATCTGGACATGGGTTGAATCAGATGTCTGTCCAATTGTGCCCTTGCTTGTACCTGGTGAGGAAGCTTCAGTTGAGGGGACAGAAGTGTGTCCACCAGCTTCTGTTGAGGGGACAGACGTATGTCCACCAGTGTCCTTGTCCTTACCTGGTGAGAAAGATTTCTTGGGGGGGGGGACAATATCGTCACCGCTAGAAGGTGTTGGAAACTTACCCCCATGGCGCAGATTGCTAATGATCTCGTCTAAGAGTTCGTCTCTCATCAAAGACTTCTCAACACCTACCCTCCGGCAAAGCTCAACAATCAATTCATCCTTCAATTCACGAAATTTCGCATTAACATGTTCCATGATCAGAGCATATAGAATATCCTGTCCCTCAGGACCCTTTGGTGGACAGATATCTTCGTCTTCAGTAACCTTCCCCTTACCCTTTGATGGACCACCCTGGGATGTCTCAGGGATTTCAAAGTTTTTGTTTGGACGCCTAAAAGACACCTTCTTAGGCTTGCGAACATTGTCTTCTTTGAGGTTCTGATCAACGACTATCGGCGGCCAGGAACGCCACCCACCTCTCCAGTCCCCTCGTTTGAACTTGTATCCGCGACCGATAAGACTTTCCATATAGTCAAGAGCCGGGTCAGAGACTTCATCGCCCCAATCGTTGATCGATGGGTGAGGCGGATCGTCACAAGGCAACAGGGGGGCAATATCCAACTGCATTGAACACAATCATTAATCAAATAACAAACGAAAAGATTGAAAAATTATAAAGCTTAAGAGACATTACCCCCTCAATCAGCTCTGTCTCCATTATGTTGGAGTTGTGAAAAGTCTTCAACGGAGGCAAAGTGGTGATAGACCCATCACCCATGGTCTGCGTATCATCAGGATTAGGAAGATATTTTTCAAACTCGGGGATGGCCTTGAGCATAAGCAGTTGGAAGACAAGAGGGAACCCGTGGGTTGAAGAATGAGACTGGTTGAACTTCACAATTAGGCCTGCGAGACTGCTAACCTTCGAACTGACCTTAACCATTCGCATTGTGAGAAGGAATGACTCACGTCCCCAGGGAAACGCTTCAAAACGCTGCAAATCGGAAACCATTTCAACAACTTGTACCGAAGCTTTGACAGGTTGGGAACTGCAGACCAGTATCCCTTCGACGATGACGATAAGCGCGAGACGAAGCCTTCGCCAGTCGTCCATCTTGTCTTTTTTGGGCTTCATCTTGTCTGCCCTCAACCATTCAACGATGTCCTTAATGAGGACAACCTTGTGTTCCTCACCAATGAGAACATTCCAATAAGGATTTTTTGGTACGATGATTTGCTGCGACTTCAATATATCGGATCTTTTTGAGTACGGCCGACAATCAAGCCCAGTCAGAATAGCATACTCTCTTAAAGAAAATCGGAACGGCTGACCGGCGAAAACAAACCAAAGCTCGTGTTTTTTCTTTGTGTAGAGGCCTCTACACAACATCTGATGCACTAATTTGCCGGAAAAAGAACATCGGCGGACAGGAAGCTGAAACAGAGGACCAAAGCATGAAGCGCGGAGATAATTTAACTCTTTAGTACCTTCTAAGATCTCGACAAGATCGAGAAGATACTCCGGCTTAGAGTAAGCATTGATACGACCTATAGGCGGGTAGCAATCAGTGGCGTAAAGCCTTTTGGGAAGCTTTTCCCTGTCCGGTTCAGGGATAACCGGACGGCTTGGAGGATTAGAGTGGGACGGTGTTGATTTGGCGGAGACGAAAGGGTCGTCGTCGTCTTCAAACGAAACCGATGGCCTGGATCTGCCAACCGGCGACTTTTGCTTCAAATTACCAGCGGAGGACCTCATCTGCAACAGGGAAAAAAATAGTCAGAAATCGATTTGGGGAATGGCAAGGGACAGAACCCTAATATAAGAGGGACTAAAAATTATCCAACTCCGATGAGGACAAAAAAATAAACAAAAGGGAATTAACAACCTAAATCGCATATTAGAACTGGGGGACAAAAACAATTGAAGTTACATGCAGATAGGCTGACAGCGAAAATTACCTGTTCTATCTTCGGAGCAGTCTTCGGAGCATAAGGAGAAGAAAGATGAAGGGGAAGTGAGATAGAGACGAAGGGAATCGTTTCCTCTCAATGGAAAAATCGATGGATGATTAAAGCGCACGAGGACCGAGGAGGAGAGATTAATAGGTAAGCGAAACGTTGTCAAATCAGTGGCAGCGCTTGGGCGCGAAAACTGCCCAACGCAGAGGGGTAAAATCGTAACACCACAATCCAAATGTGGTAGGATTGGAAAGGAGTTGCAGAATGTGGTACATTTGGCAAGTTTTTGGAGAAATGTGGTACATTTCATAGTTTTTCCTTTCATCAACATTTTACACTTATATTTTCTTTCTCTAAAACTTAAAACGTTTACCGGTTTATCGGCCTCGACAATAGGCCGTAAGCATTTGCGGAACTGAATTTTATAACCATAACGTTAGAGTCGGGAGGGCATAGCCGCGCAGATTTGTCGAGCAACCTTGACCGCTACACTATTTACAACAAAAAAAATTACCTATATCATTCTAGTCTTTCCAAAATACACTAATATAGTATTTGCTTAGTTTTTGTCAATACATTAATTCCAATAAATCCAATATTATTTAGGAGCATTATCTCTTACAATATTTCATAGATTATTAGAAAGAATACAACCAAACTTAAACTTTAAGATGGTTTAATATGCCATGTTGGTGTGTAAAGTGCCACCGGACGCTCATTTTCACGCTGAAGCGGTCTCGCATTTGTATTAGATTGCTGCAGCAAAAAGGAATTATGTAAACATATCGGTCACATTATGAAGATATATACATTGTCACATTTTTATAGCCAAGTTAGTACACGTTTAGTTAGTTAACATTAGAAGCTAAAAAAGATTAGAGACACTCACATCGTGTACAGTCACGCGAAGCATGATCAATTGTTTTAATGTCACAGTCCTCATCTGCAAAATTTGAATAATATATCAAAAAACTAATCCGAAAAATGATTAAGCATTATAATAACGACTCTGGATAGTAATTATACCTCTTTGGAAATCGTCCAAATAACATTTTCAGAACAAGGTGGAGTTGTAAGTGATCCGATATATCTATAATAGTGTTTTGATTCAAAATCGAATGTTCTAGGATGAATCATCCCGACGTATTCCTCGGATTCATGTGTATCAGTTATCTTCTTCAAGTATCTTTCCAACTATAGTCAATATCAAATATTGAATTAATCTTTTGTTTTCTTCCAAAAAGTATAAATTAGTAATTATTTGGTTAAAACGATTAGGTAGTAGGAAGGTCGAGGTTGCAATACCGTAAGGAGAAAATAGTCAGGTTTTCCCAATTTGTAAAAGAAAGCGACAACAGCATTGCGTCCATCTTTGCTCTGATGAACCATGTGTTCCTCAAGAACAAACCTATTACGTGTGCATTATTATTCAAATCTTTGCATGCATGCTAATCATATCTCAAATAATCCCTTAACCTCAAAAATGTTAGCCTAATTTAGTTAAGATTTTTTCCCTAATCATCTTTTTTATATTAAGATAACAATATCCACATTAGTAATTAAGATAGGATTGCTAGAATATAACAAATGTATACGAGTAGAGAGATACCTTTTGCCATTGAGTGTGTGTTCGGAAGGGGAGTGCCAATGAATCTGTTGAAGTTTATATTCAGTACCATTAATAGTGATACCTAAACCTGCATTTCCTCCTTCAAATTTCATCTGCCACAAAAATAAACAATTATCCAGAAATATACATATTGGAAAAACTAATTAATAGATGATTTACCATGATATCATGGCCTCTGTTCTTAATGGTGGCATTTGAAGGTAAATACTGGCTACGAAGGTATCCAAGATTATGATCAATCAAGACTCTTTTGTCCGTCAGATCAATCGGAGACTGCATGTTGCCTTTTCCACACATTGCCCACTCTGGCTTTAGTCTTCCCCAATTCTCTGGCCCCTTCTCTCCTTTCTTCTCGTAGTTAAACTGCGTTTCGTCCTCTATATTTTTGGTTACATACGAGTTAAAAAAATGTGTTTACCAACTTCAGTCCATGTGAAAATATGTGAAGGTTAACGGAGCTTACCAACTTCACCATTATCTGGTGAACTCCAAACAATTGTAATAGAGATGAAGATAAGGAAAACGACGCATCCAATTGATGATATCTTCATTTTCTTGTGCTATATATGTCTTGAGAAGAGAGATGAAAGAAAAAAATTCAAATTTTGGTTGAGCTAAATTCTTATGAAACAACTTCAAAGAGATGCTGCAGATAAAACAATTCTTTTATCCTCTTTTATAGCTCTTATTCAAGTTAACAGATTTTACGTGCCTTTGCTACTGTTTTCACCTTAATTTCTCTAGTTTTCTTTATGTTTCTTTGTTTTTAGGTTCATAAAAGAGAAAGAGATCTTGGTGTGACACACCAATTAAGATGTATCTAATCTAATTAGTTGAAATCTTTTGGAGAATAATCTTGGTGTGATTACAGAATAATTCCATTTCAAAAAAAATATATATATATATATATATATATATTCCAAAATGTTTAAAAGTAAATTACACTATATGTTACATCTATTTTGAAAAATGAAACACGTCGCATTCCATATGTACACATTTAATAATTATAACTAACTAGATTGATACATGTCAAAAACTCAAAACTTTATTAGATTTTGATTAATTATACTTTTTGGAAGTTACAGTTTAATAGTTTAAGTGTAAAAATAGATGATTACTCATTCTTTGCATAACTTATACTCCTAAAATATTGAATTATATTTAAGTGTAAAAATAGAAATTTGAAAACGACATCCAATTCAAAAAAATAAAAATCCTAAAACGACAATTATTAAAATACGGAGGGAGTACTTATATTTAAATTAATTTTATTATTGAGAAATTCTACATCAGCATTTGTTTATTTGAAAAGTGAAAACTCTTTCTTTACATGTATACACTTACAGCAATGAATCATTTACGCCTTATTTGTAATTTACTTGCTTGACTAATCTTGTTGAAATCTACAGCAACCACGCAAAGAAAGTTATATTACAGTTCTTGACCAACATCATTGGTAACAAGATCTTCTGAAATGATGGCTACCAGTAGTCATTGCAGGAGCAAACACCATCTCTAAAATGATGGAAGCGAGTTCTGTCTCTAGCAATAATCTCCCTTTTGTAAATCTTTGATATAAGCTTTGTAGCCTCGTGACAATTTCTGCACACCCTTAGATTCTTCACGATTGTAAGTTTAGTCCCAGGCTTTGTACTGATCAACCCAAATGCAATAGCTAGCTTCTCGCTGTGATGCCGCAACGCTCCTTCTTTCCATTCTTCTTCCATCTCCTGCAAGACTTCAGAAGTATCTGGAACAAACCCGGCTTTCTCTAGTAACACCTCCATTTCTTCTAACATTCCGTAGATTTCTCTGTTCCGTGGATGGAATTTATCCCCGATGATGAACTCATGGACCACAGAATCTATTTCGATAGAGCTGCAACCGGGAATTTTCTTCATACCTTTATCATTGAGGAGTGCTCGTGTTTTTGCTACTTCGTTCCATCTGCCTGCTCTAGCGTAAATGTTTGATAGGAGTACATAACAACCTGGGTTTTCTGGCTCTATCTTAATGAGGTTTTGTGCAAATGATTCACCCAACTCGACATTCCCATGAATCTTGCAAGCTTTGAGAAGGGAGCACCAAATTACTCCATCAGGCTCCATTTCCATATTGTTTATCATTTCTTCCGCTTCTTTGAATAGACCCGAATGACCCAAAAGATCAATCATGCAACCGTAGTGCTCTAATTTCGGGGTTATTTTGTAGTCATGTGTCATTGTTCTGAAAATATGGCGTCCAAGATCTAACATACCTGAATGGCTACAAGCAGACAACAAACCAACAAACGTGATATCATCTGGTTCAATCCCAATCTTTCTCATTCTTGAGAAAAGATCAAATGCTGCATCAGCTCTCCCGTGCATCGCAAACCCAAATATCATTGCGTTCCAAGACGACAAGCTTTTATGGAGTATACTGTTGAACACTTGGTCTGCTGCCTCTATGTCTCCACATTTAGCATACATGTCAATAAGGCTTGTCCGGAGAGAAGAAGCATTTGTAGCACTCTTTAATCTCTTGTCGATATACACATGAATCCATCTTCCAATATCTATGGCTCCAAGGTGTGCACAAGCAGGAAGAATACTTAGCATTGTTACATCGTTTGGCCTTTCACCTGATCTCAGCATTTCTTGAAACAACAACAATGCTTCTTTGTAAAGATTCATATGTGTGTAACCACCGATCAATGTATTCCAAGAAATTACATCCTTGTACAGCAATCCTTCGAACAAACCACATGCTCTCTCCAATTCACCACATTTTGAGTACAAATCGATGAGAGCATTAACAATCTTGAGATTTGAACCAAAGTCATGATCATCAATCCATGAATGTACCTGACGACCCAATTCAATGCTACCAGACTGAGCACAAGCAGAAACTACAGAGACCATTGTACTCTCGTCTGGCTTAACATTCATCTTCATCATCTCTTTAAACAATTCTAACGCTTCCTTATAGTTACCGGTTTCGGCATATCCTGAAATCATTGCATTCCATGACACTACGTCTTTCACTGGAATTTCATCGAACATCTTCTGTGCACTTTCGATATAGCCTCTTGATGCATAGCCCTTGATCAAAGCTGTATAGGAAACCACATCTCGGTGAGGACTTCTATCGAACACCTTACGTGCATCTTCCAATCTCCCGTTTTGAACGTACATAGAGATCAGAGAAGTATGTACATACAAATCTAGATCATACCCAAGTTTCAAAACGTGCCCGTGGATCTGTTGCCCTTCCTTAAAAGCCTTCGACTTTGCACAAGATTTCAATAGAAACGGAAACGTATAGGAATTAGGGAGAAGCCCAAGTGAAATCATACAAACATACAGCTTCAAAGCACAAACAGGGTCCGAACTCAACGCGTGTCCACGAAACATTGTGTTCCAAATCAACAGGTTCGGCTCCTGAATCGTTTCGAAAACAGAGATCGCATAAGGAAGGCCATCAAAGTGTGGAGATAGAACGCAGAACTCAAGAAGCTTGCTGAGAGCGTAGTTGGTGTTGTGAAGACCGGTTTTGATCATCTGAGCGTGGATTATGCGGAGAGATTGAAGAGTTTTGCAATTGTGGAGAAGAGAAAGAGAAGGCTGGTTTCGGAGAATATCGTAAGGAGGATCGGAAGAAGAAGGAAGGAAATGGAATGGGTAAGAAGAAGAAGAAGAAGGAACGGTGAGAGGAGAACACGAGAGCATCATCTTCTTCTTCTTCTTCTTCTTCTTCTTCTTCTTCTTCTTCTTCTTCTTTCCTTATCGTTGCTTCTAACGGATATTTTTACTACCCGCCACATTTAACGTCCCCAATAGCACAAGGATTTTTTATGGGCCTGTGATTTTTTTATATTGGCAACTATATGGGCTTGTGATATCTTTTTCAATTTTTTGTAATGTTCGATTTTTAATTATATTGTTTTGCAAAATTTTAACGTAAACGGCCAAAATACAAAACAAACAATCCAAGTGTTAATGATATAAATTAAATAATAACATTATTTTTGTATAGTAACATAAATCAAATAACATGTTTACCATTATTTTGCAAAGGATAAATAAATAAAATCATCAAAACAGTGTAACGAAGAGTATAATTTATGATGTTTATATGAAGAATTAAAGATTAGTAAAAACTAAAAAACTTTTAATATCTTCATATATTAAACTATTGGTCTATATAAGTGCACCATACGCTTGTTGGTTGGTTGGACCGGCCTCGCATTCGAATTAGCATCCTGTTAGATATCATTTAAAAGCACTAATTAAAACAATGAATAAATTGGATGGATATTCTCCATTGATTGACCATTAAGTAATCTGACTTACATCGTGTACAGCCACGCGGAGAAGCTTCACTTGTTTTCTTGTCACGGTCCTAACCTGAAAGAATTAAACATTGCAATTAATTAGGTAATTAAGAGCAAAAATGAAGTGAAGATATATAAATAAATATACGAGTAATTAATACCTTTCTAACAACGCTCCAGGTAACGTTTTGAGTGCAAGGAGGAGTGGTAAGTGAACCAGTGTATCGGTAATATTTTCTACTTCCGATCTTAATTTTGGTGGGATCAATCATTCCTACATTTTTCTCTGCCTCCTCCATTTCAGCAATGCCCTTTAAATCATTCTCCAACTAAAACCAACCCAAATTGTTAAAAAATATATTAATCAACAATTACTGTTGGTGCCAATAATACATCTGCATGCAGCTATTAATTAAGTTTTTTTTTTTGTTGTTGTTTACCGATCTGATAAAAGTATCTGCTCTTCCGATCTTGTACAACACAGTCACAACAGCCATTCTTTCGTTCTTGCCTTCGTGAACCATATGCAGCTCAAGTGCAAACCTGGTTTGCAAGTTAGAGTAATTTTTAGTTTCGTGAACTAATCAAGAGTTTTGATGTAGTGTTGTTTTAATGAAATAGTTACCTTCTTCCATTAATAGTATGCTCAGAGGGAGAGTGCCAATGAAGCTGTTGAAGTTCATATCGAAAACCATTGATCTTAATACTTCCGGCTTCATCTTCAAATTTTAACTGCAACAAGATTTAACACATATGCATGATTATTGAAAGTTTCCTAGCTAGTTTTATACATAAACACAACAAAATCAATGAAAAAATTGTGGGCTTAATCAAACAGAAAATGTGTCCATGTATATATATACCATGATGTCGTGGCCTCTGTTCTTAAGAGTGGCATTTGAAGTTTTATAGTCTCTATTAAGCCTTCCAAGATGAGAAACAACGTTAACTCTCTCGTTCATAAGATCTATGGGAGATTGCATCTCTCCTTTCCCACACATTTCCCATTCCGGTTTAAGTTTTCCCCATCTCTCTGGCCCCTTCTCATCGTTCTTCTTGTAGTTAAACTCGTGTTCGTCCTCTGCATCACCATTAAGCATATTAAACACTTTCATACATAAACCATAATTTGGAAGATATATACATAAATAGAGAGAATTTTAAAGTTTACGTACCAACTTCTCCATGACTTGAAGCAGCACTCGAAATCGAAACAATTGTGAACATACTGAACAGAGCCACAAAGAAGATGCACTGGATTGATGAGTAGTTCACCATTTTTGTTTTGCTGAAGAGAGTTGATAATTTTAGTCTTTAAAGTTTAAATTATCCGATAAGTTATTGAGCTTGGTTGTGAAACACGCATGCAGCTATAAATACTTATTGAGACAGAAAAATTTGTACGGATATGTTAAGGCGTCGGATTACTAGTCCGCAAGACTTCCCATGCTTTCTTAGTTCCTTCCGGACGACATCTTTGACTCTCTTGGAAATATGTTTTTATATAGACTGGGAACAAAGGGCAGGTGTGAATCAAAGCCTAATTCATCACCAAATCTGTTACCATTTTCAATTTGAAAAGAAAAAAAAAATCACAGTGGGATTTATCTTGGTTCATTCCGATTTTCAAGATATGGCACACAAAACTTTACTTGTGGAATAATGAAGACATATTTTTCTCATTTGAATCATTGTGTTTTCAGATGTCTATCAAAATTCAAAGATGATGATAATAAAAAGTTTGACATAAAATATTTTTAGTGACTGCAAAATTTAATAATTAAAATTATAGCAATTGACACATAATATTTTGTCAAAATTTTCATGGAGTTTTTTTATAGCAAAAATAATATTCTAAAAGATAGAATGAAACCAAATAAATCAAAACATTGGCCTACTAAGTTGTTTTTATCTCTTTAATTTTAAAGATTTAATCAATATTTTTTTTACTTCAGGTTTTTGTGACAATTTGTTCCCATTATCTCTTAGAGGTATTACCAGTTACGTTTTTTTTTTCTTTCAAAATTTCTATTGTTTTCATCAATTTTTTTCATTATACTTTATGAAAGTAGAACAACCACCACGAAAAAGGTGATGAAGAAATATGAAAAATAATATGAAAACAACATAGGTCACGTTGCTTTCCCGCGTACGACCAATTCACATTAGGACTCACTTTCTGAAATTTCCACCATTAGTCCAAGAAAGTAATTTATTTAAGTGGTTGGTTAAAATTTCAGTATGTTTTAAATATCTTATAATAAAGAATAGAAATTCTACCATAAGTATTCCTCAAGGTCAAGGAGCCGTTTCACTTTACCATTTACTATAAGTTAGGAAATGTTGAAATGTTCCTTTGATTCTTATGGTCGTATCATCTAGAAACCTCAGTACAAGGCTATATCACGTATCATCTAGAAACTAAGTACATATTTTTACACTATATCGATCATATATTCTTGCTTAATGTGAATATTACCTAATCGAGTTTGTGCCTTCCTTTCTTGAAATGGTCCTACCATATGTCTTAAAATTCTTAGTTTTTATAACACATATTAAACTGAACCATACTTAGGTTTACCAGTGGGGTGAACCTTTAAATTCACCCAACAGATTATAGCCAATCGTTTTGCCATGTCATTATTAATACTAGAGAATTAAAAAAAAGAAACACAATTAAAAAAAAAGAAATCACAAAATATATTTAGGGTTTAAGGTTTAAGGTTTAGGGTTTAGGGTTTAGATTTTACAATTAAAACGAAATTAGATGTCGGTTTGGGTTGCCAAATGAGTGGTTAGGGTTTAGATTTTATAATTAAAACTAAATTAGATATCGGTTTGGGTTGACAAATGAGTGGTTAGGGTTTAAATTTTACAATTAAAACGAAATTAAATATCTGTTTAGGTTTGTGAAATATTTGTTATATAAACCCTAAACCCTAAACCCAAATCCTAAACCATAAACCCTAAACCCAGCGGTGAACAGATATATAATTTCGTTTTAATTGTAAAATTTAAACCCTAACCACTCATTTGTCAACCCAAACCGATATCTAATTTCGTTTTAATTATAAAATCTAAACCCTAACCACTCATTTGGCAACCCAAACCGACATCTAATTTCGTTTAATTGTAAAATCTAAACCCTAAACCCTAAACCCTAACCGATATCTAATTTAGTTTTAATTATAAAATCTAAACCCTAACCACTCATTTGGCAACCCAAACCGACATCTAATTTCGTTTTAATTGTAAAATCTAAACCCTAAACCCTAAACCCTAAACCTTAAACCTTAAACCCTAAATATATTTTGTGATTTCCTTTTTTTTTAATTGTGTTTCTTTTTTTTTAATTCTCTAGTATTAATAATGACATGGCAAAACGATTGGCTATAATCTGTTGGGTGAATTTAAAGGTTCACCCCAGGGGTAAACCTAAGTATGGTTCTATTAAACTCATCTATATATAAAGAAAATGTAGTTTCATCCAGTACCAACTCTGTGACCATCCCCTTAGGTGAGCTACACGTCTCTCGCCCACTACTTGTTTGTAGGTGACATCTGCGTCCGAAAGCCGATTTTTTACTTCGAGAAGATCACGAGAATTGTCAATTTACTTTGCCAATAATCATCCGTTGTTTATGTGTTTTATCTTTAATTTAAACGATACTGCATATCAACTTTTAATAAATCATTCATCTTTAAAATTTAATCCAGTTAAGCATTCGTACTACATGCATATCATACTCACAAAAATCCTATTTTTCGTTCGTAATTGTAAATATATAATTGGTGAAGACTCAGGCAATATGGGAGTGAAACCAAACTTTTATGACTTTGACATGTCTTCATGTCGTCTTCAAGAAGAGTCTCCTAATTGCATCATGACTGGAAAGAGTGTACGGTTCTAGCATCATAAATGAGAGTTATAATTTTTGTTGTTGATAAACACGACCGGGACGTAGACGAGATATAATTTGTCTTCAAAGAAAACAAAATCTAGAAATAACGATAGTTTGTGTAGATAGGATTTGAGTTTGTAAGAAAACTTTAGATCTGCGTTGAATTTTATAGTGTTTTCATTTGATCGAGTCTCATGTTTTTTTTTTCAGTTACACATTGTAAAAATAGATGATATATAATTATATATATATTTGTCAAATATCATTTGATCGAATTATATTTATCAATCTTCGTGGGCCTGATTACCCATTACAGGATTTGGCTTTTTTGTTTGTTTCAGTTTAATTTCAGTCTTCATTAGGCCAAGCCCACTGTATTGTTTCCACCTGACTCTAAAAAAATCCATAAAAAAAATCTCGTTACCATGTCATACCGAAAGAAAACTACATTTTGTACTTTGTAGAGGTTTATTAGGAATGTGGCCTAACTTAACCCAAAAGCTAGCTCAAGAGTTAAGGATTGCCACATCCTTTATATACTAAACAAAGATCTTAATCCCAAGCAATGTGGGACATTCTAATAGGCCTCCTCGAGATGTGGGTGAGAAACGGTCCAACGGGAAACAGCCCAAGCCCAACAGTTCGGAAATATAACAAGACATGCCACTTATATGAGCCACATAGGTGAGAAACCATTTTTGTGGGAATTTGCTAGTTGGGCCAACCTTGGGCTCTGATACCATATTAGGAATGTGGCCTAACTTAACCCAAAAGTTAGCTCAAGAGTTAAGGATTGCCACATCCTTTATATACTACCCAAAGATCTTAATCCCAAGCAATGTGGGACATTCTAATAAGGTTCTTCGTGGGCCTAAGTTAATTAATTAGTAGCCCACACGATGAAGCCCTTCTCATCGGCAAATAAACCTGTACAATATGCCAATCCCATTTAACACTAAAATCTAATTCCTGTAGTTGAAGTTGAATATTCATTTCGCATGTTTCATCATCATGCAATACGCTTTCGAATATTGCAATAAATATTTCTGTTAATATGTTTATAATATAATATTTATTTTTTATACAAAATTTCCACCATATGTAAATGTCTGCATATAGTACATTATTTTAGGACATTGATCATAAATGAAACGTCAAATAAAGTTAACACTTGGACGATTGGATCTAAAATATAGTTTTAGTATGAAATTGAGAGTCAACGAGGACGTCTATATCTGAAATGTGAAAATTATGCAGAAAGTCTAATGGTCCGTCATCATCAAATATCTAAATTATTGAATTGCCAGCATTTGATAATTCGGCAGACCACGATGCAGAGCCGTTATCACAAATATAAAATCGAAGTCTCTCCGACAGCCCAAGCGCTAATTAGAAAGTATCTGAATTAGTTCATTAGTTTATTTGAGTTGTGACTTCAACTAATTGAAATTATACGTACATTTGCAAGTTGTGTATAAGTCCAAGAATAGCCTGTTCTGAAAAATCTACACTTGGCCGATGTGGAATCTTAATCAATAACGAAAACTATCCTTATCTATAATTTTCATTAGTGAATTTGAAATATAATAAATGTTGCGTGATACTTTCGTTTACGGTGAAAAAAAAAGAGTATGAAATTGGTTTTGTATAATCAAAATTCGAAACCAATTTGCCGTCTAAACTGACAAAATTGTTCATTGTTTTCACAACCATAATTTCTTTACACGAAAAAGCTTAAATATGCATTATATAGATAAAATGTCTATTTTCGTCATCTTTCTTTGGAGTTCACTTTTTACTTTCTCCAAACGGTGGGGAATTGTTTCTTCGCTAACTCATCCCTCTCTATCTCTCTTTAGAGTCTATAGATAATAGATTTGCTTAGACATTTCTCAGATAAATGTAGTTTACAAAGTGGTTCCTTCACGAGTAAAACGTAGCCCTAAAAACCAATTTATGTCTCTCTTCTTTCTTTTTTTATTTCAACAACCAATTTATGTCTACTTCCTCTAGTTTTGGGAGATAATTACGTGGTTCGCTGCCTTTTTTCTTTTCCTTCTTAAGTCATTTTGGGTTTCGTATACAAGCAATATAATTTAAGCATTGGTTTTTATGTTTACAAGAATAGAACCATGTCGTTTTATTATACAGTACTACTGCAAATTAACTTTATGTCATTCAAAAAATAAATTAACTAGATAATTAAAATTATAAACTTCTTTTCCTTACAGAAAATTTAACAATCAAAAAGATACCCTTGAATTGTTGTTAAAATATAAGTATATATTAACAATGTGCAATTCCGTATTTTGATTTTTATTAATAAGGTAATATCATGGATAATCATTATTTAATTTTCTGACGTTGATAATCATTATTATAGGATTCTCTTTTGTCCATTACATATGTGTCAGATTATTTAAGCGAATGTACGCACATATAATAGAGAAAAGATGATGAGCTCATCGAAATAGTTGACTTTTTCACAATTTAGACATCGAATTTTTGTCTTTTATCAAATCCCAACTTGTTGGAACTTTGACACGTCAGCAAGATTGATCGCTTGACT